CACATTGCCGCCCACGCTTATCTAGAATTCTATATATATATATATATATATATGTGCATATATAATCCATTATTTTTTTTAAATGTTTTTGTATTTGTAAATTGTTTCACGGCGTCGAAGCGTGGCATCAGACGGCCAACGCGTCATTGAACACTTGGACCTACTTCTCAGATGTAGCTGGCATATATAAATACATGTATATTTATATATATACATATATATATGCCGATTATAAAGCCAACAATATGCACATATCTAAATATTTGCACAGAGCAAACGCACTGGGGCGCCGCCAAAAAAAAAAAAACAACATTTAGAATGCTCTCACGGTTAAGCCAAAAAAATAAACGCATAAGTGGACGAACATACGTGTACGTATGTATAGAATGTAAGCATAAATATAGCTCAACTAAAGTTTTTGGACATACAAGAGTTGATCACGTTACATAATTCAACGAAAGCCTTGTTAACATACAGCGTAAATGTAATTTAACAGAGTTGTGTACATAATGTTAGCCAACATAAAACTCAACACTTGACCTGTAGCATAGAAATTCACCAAAACTTTGCTTTGGATATAAATTAAAGTGTAATTTAACATGATATGCTAATGTTAGCTTATTTGACTGCTAACAGCGTAGAGCAAATTAGCATTTCACAACTGTACACATAGATATATATGTATATGTGGATTTATGTATATATGTATATAAATATTATAATACATAGTTATATAGCACAGTCAAGCTAGACGATAAGACGTCTTCCATATATTAACAAGAGTGCTCTAATCGGCAGTGCCCGACTAGAAGATGCCCTGAACTGTTTTTACAATCATCTCTGCATCTTATATACATGACTATGGTTCTAGTTGGTCTTCACATCGATATATGATTATTCGAATGGAAGAAGAGGTATCTAAATTACAAAATATACCAAATCTGTGTTTTCATTATGGAAACTTTTAATAAATTAAGTGTATTTGAATATATATATATATATATTATGAACAATTGCCACACCTCTTTCTGCCTGTTACATACATGTGCACCAAAGCATTATACCCTACATTCCCTTTCCAATGGGTTCAGGGTACAAATCGTCGCAAACGATAAATTCGCCTGCTAATTAAAAAAGAATCTGTCCACAAAATAAGAAAAATACAAAATACACACTTATAGTCACATATATATGTATAAGTAAATATCTATGTGTGATATACATATTACGTAGATACAGCTAAAAGTTGAGAGTGTAATAAAACATTGTTGGAAACAAGTTTTGCAGGCCGGCAAAAAAACTAAAAAGCATAAACAAAGCATAGTAAAACAGCCTTTAGAAAACCCGACTTAAATATTTTGGGCATAGCGCACATAAATGGAGTATACATATATATAGTATATATATATAAATATATATATATGAACATTTCCGGCAGCGATGACGCAAACATGAAACAAACACTAAAAATTGTTGAGGAATTTCGTTGAGTTCTTAACCCCAAAGCAGCATGTGTAGAATTTTATTTCATCAAATAGTTCTCTCGCTGCATTCTACATAGCACTGAAAACGTAGAACAGGTAACAAAAGAAGGCCAATAGCAACGGCAGCAGCTGCTTGTTGTTGGGATGCATTTTGACCAGGTAGCGAGCCAAGACGAAAGGCAGATGAGAAAACAGCGGCTGTTGCGCTCATAGATGCAGCTGTCTCTAGACTAGATAAAACAGAAAGGAATAAAATATACTTAATACTTTCTAAAATCTTCCCTGCCTCAGCCTTTGCGAAACTAGTTCAAGGCTTTAAGCAAATCGAAGTGGAAAGAAAATTTGCTAAGGCAGTGAAAGTAAAAGTAAAAGTTTTCCACTTTTTAAATTAAAATTAAAAATTGAGCAGCCTACGTAAAGCTCATGCATAAACTGATGAAGTGAAGTGTAGTTATTATATAACTACAACTTATTAAAAATGTAGAATACGAAAACTATAGAGAATATGTTCTAAAAGGTTTACTAAAACAGAGAAAATTTTTATATATTTTTTAAAGCTATATTTTTAGCTAACATAAATTTCTAAAATCTACAAAAATCTCAGCAGCTTTTACCAAAAACAATTAAATAGAACGAAGCTAATTTTGAAGGCGCGTTTCACGGCATTGTTTCAGCCTTAACGGAACTAGTTCAAGAGCAAGTCAATGCGGAACTAGTCACAAGCAATTTGTAATTAGCGCACTTGAGGTTAAAGCTCATTTCAGTAGTCTAAATATGTAAGAAAAATCGTATATATATGTCCATAAATTTTTTAGTTTAAATATAGATTATTCAAAACTTTTTGAAAAAGGCTTAAAAATTATTAAAATGTTAAAAAAAAATTAAAAATGTAATTTAAAAAACATATATATAAAGTTATAGTAAAATTGAAAATTAAAAAATTAAAAAAAAAAACTTAGATTTCCTTTTAGTATACAAAAGTCCGCCCATACATCAAACTAAATCAATCAAATCCACTTTTTATTCCTTTTCAATCAGAATACACACATTATGTGGCAACATATGAGGCACATACATGTTTATTTGGCTAACTTCTAGCTATTCGTAAAACTAGTTCAACTTAACCAAGTTCAAACCGAAATTGAAAACATTTGACACAAGCACCAGAAATGCGAATTTGTTTTCAAATATTTCACATTCGTGTTGGCCTATGTAAAAATCGAAAAATCAAATATGTTGCATACGATAAATGTGGCACTGATGCACAAACATCGAGTGGCGCCAAAGCGAAGCAGAGCTAAAGAAAAAAGCCAAAAAACAGCTAGAGAAAAAGCCGAAGTTGTAATGCTCTATTGTAATGCAGCCTTTAGACCTAGATGAAGTAAACTTTAAAAGTCAATATATTCCTATTCTCTGTTATCTTAGCTTCTGTAAGTCCAGAAAGCGTTCCATATAACTTGCCATTCGGCAAGCTGCAGATGACATACTCTTATGCATGCATCCTATGTATCCCTGAACCCTATTTTCTTATTCTATCTATTCATTACCTATTCGTCATCTGGTAAAGTTAAAAAATATTTTTATAGATCTTCACACTTAAAATATACAATACAATTTACAATTCAAGCATGATTTAAACCTTAATTAAGTTATACAATCCTAAAGATTTGATAATATCTTAACATATATTAAAATTATATAATATATAATTGCTATAATATTAATCCTTTTCTTTGTGCTGCGAGCCAAGTGCAAATAAATGTAATCCTAAGTGGAGCAGCCTTTCTTTGTGATTCTCATTACTCTATAGTAAACTATTTTAATGCCTCCATTTATAGCAAAAGCATTATGCCCGGCGCAGCAAGAGCAGCTGCAGTGCAGCCACAGCAATGACAACAAACAAGCTGAAAAATAACTGCAGCTGTTGCAGTTTTATAAATGTGGTTGCCCACCCATGCCAACCTACACAGAAAACACTATATATATACTAGGTATATATATGAAAAGCCTCGTAATGTTGAGGGCGCATTTTTGAGAATCAATGAGCAGCAGGATGAGCGCGAGTTTCGGGGCTTGCCAACTTTTGGGCACACGGAGACGGGTTCAGAGGTGCTCGATGGGTGGGGCAGCTGGGGGCGCGGTAAATGACTCTTAACGCTGACAGTGAAAGCAGTTTTGGGCCAAAAAGGCGGCAGCTGAGTTGGAAGCAAAACTAATTGCAACAATTGTCGTTGTTGTTGTTTGAAAGGGCGAAAGGGAAATAAAAAAATGTTGATAAATGAAACAAAATGTGAAAAGTCAGCTAAATGATAAGGCCCCGCGGGGCTCAGCTGGCATTATGATAGATATACATATATAGACAGATATGAATGGGCTTATCATATCATATAAAAAAGCCCAACGATGGCCACAAATCACACTCGCTGCTTATATTGATTGAATGGCCGTGAAAGGCTACGGCGAATAAATTCAAATCGAATCGAATCGAATCGAATGAAAAGCAACGTAAATGTGCGCCAATTAAAACAAATCATTGTTTAAATAACCCATTAATTGCAAGCGTTGATCCCTCGAAATGTTTGTGAAAATGGAAATCGAAATGAAAATGGCAACAAATGAAATGTGAATGAACTTAGTAGGAGAATGTTTATACGTCAATCACACTACTTCAAAGAAAACTCTGTTCAGTTTACAGTAAATTAGCTTAAGAACTGCAGTTGTTTACTATTGAGGCCAATCCAAGTTGCTGCTCTCTGCGATTCTCATGAATTGCAGAAGTAGAAACTAAGTTGAGGATATATTAAGTTAACTCTGCTTGCAATCCTTCTGAATTCAGCTCTAGTACCTCATTGAATATGGTGCCTCTCTTTGCGATTCTCAGGCATTGCAGCAGATAAAACAGAGTAGAGGATATATTAAATTGACTTTCTTAGCGATATTCAAGAATTCAAATCTTGTATCTTATTGCATATAGAGAGAACTGTAGTGCCGCTCTTTGCGATTGTCATGAACTACAGAAGATAAAATAGAGTAAAGGATATAATTAATTGACTTAGTGATATTCAAGAATTAAAATCTTGTATCTTATTGAATATAGAGAGGACTGTAGTGCCTCTCTTTGCAATTCTCATGAACTACAGAAGATAAAACAGAGTAAAGGATATAATTAATTGACTTAGTGATATTCAAGAATTAAAATCTTGTATCTTATTGAATATAGAGTGAACTGTAGTGCCTCTCTTTGCGATTCTCATAAACTACAGAAGATAAAACAGAGTAGAGAATACATTACACTCTTCATTCATGCACTGCCTCTCATTGCGCTTCTCATCAATTGAGCAAGAGACAAAGTCTCATGAAATCCAAGCGCAGACAGACAGACGAACACTTCCACAAAAACAAATATATCCTGAGCGAAATGCTTAAGATATAATTAAGCCAATCTAAACTAACAACCAAATCGTGTATCCTTTTTGTAAACTATCATCACAGCTTAAGGATGCTATGAACTGAGTGGAAAGCAAACATAGGACTATTTATTAGTTTTCTTGAAGTATTTATAACAGCTTTCCAGTTGAAAGTGAGATGTTGAAGAAGCCTTCTGGCTTGCATCGATGGAGCAGGGGTTACCAATGCTTATCGTCGTCATCATCGATATCGTCCACTGGGTAGCTGTCCAACTGATCCGACTCTTCGTTCTGTATTGTACACTTCTCGTCCAGATCGTTGGATGTCTTTCGACTCAGCTTGTTGCCACTCACAGAACGGGCCAAATTGCCGGCATTGATGATGGCCATGGAGCCGGCATCGTTGAAGCGCGGACGCTTCTTTTGCAACTTGCTGGCCCAACACTCGGTGGCACGACGGCGCGCATTGCCACAAATATTCTCGCTGGGCGTATTTTTCGGCGGCGGCGTCGGCTGCTCACGCCTCAGTCCGGGCTTCACGTTCAGCATGGGCATGGGCATGGGCATGGAGATGGCATTGAAGGTCACTGGCACTGGACGTTTAATAAGATTCGGTATCTTCGGCTTGGCTTTGCTCTCGGTCTCCACAGTCTCGGCCATGGGCCGAGTGCGAAATTCATGCACCAACGGATACAGGCGCTGTATGGCCGACTCGACGGCATTCACACTAGCCGCTGTCACCGTGATGCTGCCCGTCGAGAAGATCTTCAGAGTGGCCTTCAGCTCTTGCATTTTGAATGTGACGCCCGGGTGCAATTCCGGCTCGTAGCTGGCATTATCACGATGCCGCTCCGAGAAGTTGACGATGCGTATCGGCCAGGGCATGCTGCACGTGCCGAGCACGTTGACAATGCGAAACTGTTGGAAACGCACCGGAAATCCCAGTTTGCCCAAGCTGCGAGCGTAACGACGCGCCGCCACCTTGGCCTGCGGCTCAGAGATGGCGCCCGTGCAGGTAATGCGCCCGGACGACCATATCGAAGCCGTTGTATAAGGACGACGCAAACGCATCGTCACCATGCCATTCTCTCGACGATACTCCACATTGGAGCCGTGCAGCGCAATCTCTCGCAGCTTCAGATGGCAGTGCACGCTAAAGGAGCACACGACATTATTGATCACAATATCCAGCTCGGACGGTGGAGGCGCATTGGTGGTGCTGGTGGACGTGGTGGTGATGGTGCTGGCGCTGTTGGTGTTGCATTTCCCAGCCGCAGCCTCGACTTTTTCTTCAACTGTTGAAGCTGGCGCCTTTGTCTCTTTATTTTCAATGCTCTCAAACATTTCTCACAATTATTTTCGATTTGCTCACTGACAGTTTCCAGTTGTCGTCTGATTTTTATAATGAGCCCAATGCTATCTAATCGATTGACCGTGCTATCGAATATAGAATTCTCGCCTCGCCTCGCCTTGCCTCGCCTACTTAGCACATAAACTAAAATCCCATTAAAGTTGCGAAAAGAAGAGACCTTAATGAAGAAATTGTACAATGATCATGAGATGATGGCTAAAGAGTCTGTGAGGCAGAGTCTGGACACAGGTGCACAGAGAGCAGCCCACGACAGAGGAGGCAAATGCAGCTCGACACACCTGTCAGAGTGGCGACCTGACTTGGGGTGCATAAAGCATTTTCAAGCAGAAAACCAAAATACAAATTAGGTAAAATAAATATAAAAAAAATTTAAAAATAAATATAAAAAAATTAAAAATATAACAAATAAACAATAACACAAAAATAAATTTAAAAAATATATATATAGTACTATATCTATATATATTAATATATAATTAAATATTGCAATATAAATATATTTAAAAATTACATATTTGCTTATAATAAATTTGTATTTATAATCGAAAATTTCTATACTGATCTTGCCATATTTATTATTACTATATGCCACACTATCGGCCCACACAATTTCGAAATACAGAGTATTAAAATTCTAAAAAAAAATATTGTAGACTGATAACATTCCAGCATCTAGACTTTAGTCAAATAGAACATTCAGAGGTCAAGAAAGTGACTCATACTTTCAATGAGTTGCTTCAAATTCTAATATACTAGCGCTAATAAACTAATGCAAAAAGCAAATTGTGAAGAAAATAAAGTAAACTGAGAAACTGAATCAACAAATAGCAAACAAAACCGAAACAAGCAAAGCACATACATTTTCGTATACTTCAAAAACGATTTTTGTGCAATCAAAATTCATAGGAAATCTGCTCAAAAGTTATAGAATTATATCAGAAAAAAGCCTAGAAGAACTTAAGAAGCCCCAAATGGAAGCTACAGACAATAGCAGACGAGAATGTATACGACTGCTAAATACCCTGTAAAGAGGAATACATGAACATGATTTATATTTAAAATGGATTGTTAAACTCTATATATTTCAAAAATATTAGTTATATATAAACTCCATGAGTTTTACGTTTTGCCTATTACATCATTTCACACAGCTGGCATATAGTTTAGATATAATGTTCATTTTATTGTTAGCCTTAACATATTCAGTAGTTCCTTAAGTTCTGCAGCATATTTTAGGAACTATTGTTCAATGAAAATTAATATATATATATATATATATATATATATATATTCTATAGACTCATTTAGATATTACGCATTACTGCATCATATTCACATTCATATTCATTTTCATTGCTGATTAGTGTACGAATTTTATACTAACGAATGATTCATTAACCAAGCAGAGAGCCTTCTTCATGATAGCCTCAACTACAACCAAACACTCATTGATCGCTGAACAAGTTCAGTAGATCATCTTAATGAACCATTCCATCGAGCAAGTCGAGTCCGTATTGTTTGTGTAACACTTAACCGTGAGCTCCTTGTCAACTGCAGCTCCAAAAGGGGGCAAAGCTGCTGCCAAGTGCAACTCAAGTGGCAGTTGCTGCTGATAAGAGTCAGTCTACCTCTATCCCCACCTACCCCTACCCAAAACAACTTCGACTGGGTCAACATGAAGCGCTGCTTATTGAAACTAACTGTGAATGCTTTTGTCAATGGGCTGCAGCTTATCAATAAAGCAAGATAATGTTCGTTCTATGAGCATGTTAAGTGTCATTGCAAATATAAAAACAGAAAATGAAAGTCTGTCACGACAAATTGCGATTGCTTAAGTGCTCGTTATAAGTCAAGTGAATTAATCGTTGCTGGAGAATTAAATTAAGGAAATTATAAATAGGGCAACAGCTGCATAAACAAATGCACTGAAAAGGAAAGTGAGAAATATAAGAGAGAGAGAGAGACAGAGAGAGGGAGACAGGGAGACAGATAAGCGAAGCAAAGAAAGGGAATAAGGAAAGGAAGAGAGAGAAATCTTGATCAAACAATTATTTTCTTCTCCTTAATTTTTCCTTCTTAATCTTCTTCTTTTCTAGTTCGTCTTATTCTTCTTTTTCTCTTATTGTTCCTTTTGTAGTTCTCCTTATTTATTTTCTTTCTTCCTTATTCTATTCTTCTCTCCCTTTGCATGCTTCGCTGTCCACCTATTCTTATTGCTTTTAAATCTCAATTCGCATTGTTCCTCAAAATTTTGTTCGTTTACTTTTTACTTTACTGTTTACTTTTCTATCCAAAATTAGCGAATTTCAAGGCTTTCTTATATTTTCAAGTCATAAAGCTAATCGAAAAAAAAGCCACACAAAATATTGAAGTAAAAAAATCCAATAAGCCCAAGCGCAATTCAAACGGAATGTTTTCCCAACACATTGTTGTAGGAAATGGAAAATAGCGGAATTTGTATTTCGCTATTAAAATACAAAAATCGTTGCCAATCTTTATGAAAATCTGAGACATAGAGAGAAAAAACATTTGTTTAAGCTAAATATAATGAATGACTCGCTTTACTACGCTAAGTTCGCTTCAGTTTTCGATTAGATCTACCGAAAAAGCAAAAAACGAACAGTAAACAAACAAAAACAAAAGCGCGACCCAGGCGGAAGGGCAGGAAGGAAGAAGGCACTGAGTGGGGAATGGGAAATGACATGGAATGCCGCATTTGAATAGAAAATCAAACGTCGGCTTTGTTGTCTGCTGTTGTTTGCTACAGCAATTGTTGTTGTTGTTGCTTGTTTGTTTGCTTTTCGCACTTCAATTGTTATAGCTGGTAGCTAAAAATTTGTTTAGCTAACGAAAACGCACATAAAACAACAACAGCAACAACATGCCAAGGGCAACGTTGCAGCTGGGCTATAAATTTATCGCATGCTAGAATAGGTGACGCCGGCAGCGCAGCAAAGGAATCGATGCACACACATACACACACACTCAAACTACCAATTCGAAAACAGCCAACTTAATAAAAATTCTAAAATAACAGTTACGTGTTGCTGGCCAATTAGCATGGCACCATAGCACTCTGGTGCATGTATGTGTATATAAATATACTTATGTATATGTACTATATAGGCATATAAATCTATGGATCGGATACTAGTTGCTAGGTAAATTCATAATCGTACCACATTTGCATAAGCAGCGCCTCGCGCGCCGATACAGCAACAACACAACACAACAGAACACAGACACAAACACACACACACACACACGACGGGTGAACGCACAACAAATTTCTAGCAATAACAAATCGCTATGCGTTTACTTTTCTTTTTTTTGGCACTTTCTCTATGAATTTGCGGTCGCATTTATTTATTGCTAATTATATTATAATGCAGCGTCACACTGCACTTTGACACACACTCACGCACACATTCACGATATTTGTTGTTTTTGGGCTATTATTAAATTATTTTAGCTGTGTTTTGATTTCGATTTTTTGGTACAAAGACGCCCACGCGTAAACACGTCCGTTCGCTATGCAAGTCCGACGCGTAATAACAGCTGTAAGCAAAATTGCAGCTGTTAAACGAATTGTTTGTGACTGTTAACCGGCAGTGTTGCACATTTGGCGGGAAGAGCAACAAATTTAGCATTTTTAATACAGTGCCTAATAAAATTAATTTAACTGTGACTAAAGAGTGCTTAATTGATTTTGTTCTTATAATAATATTCGCAACTGACATTATATATATAATTATTAATACCATTTTGCAACAATATGTTACTTTCGTTAACAGCTGGCAGCCCTGTGTCTGTTAATTAACAGTGGTACTCTCTCGTGTCAACTATCGCGGTCGGCTAGAGATGAACAATAGTATAGTTAATTATTTAGATAATCATGTCGGAACTACAGGTAGAAATACGAAATTAATGCTAATTACAGTGATGTTAATGTTTAAAAATATTCCAGGAATTCAACCAAGCTGCCGAGGATGTCAAGAACTTAAGCAGCACACCGGCTGACAACGATTTGCTCGAATTGTACGGCCTATACAAGCAGGCCAATGTGGGCGATTGCAATACAGGTGAAAATTGACTTTTCTAAAATTTAGTTTAATATTTAATAATAATTATGTGCTCCGCGCAGACAAACCTGGTTTCCTCGACTTCAAAGGCAAGTCCAAATGGGAGGCCTGGAATAAGTTGAAGGGCATGAGCCAAGTCGACGCCCAAACTGCCTACATCACCAAAGTGAAATCTTTGATTGCGAGTGTGGGTCTAAAGTCCTAAGCAGATGCTGTGTTTCGAATATAACAATCCAGTTGGAAATGCATTTCTCTCACATGTAATACGCACAATATTTCGTCATTAGCACAAAATACATACGCACGCTAAAGAGTTAATGCATCCATTTATATATTCATATATGTTACATACATATGTATGTATGTATTTACAGTAAATATGCAGATACTGTAGCTTTCCGGCTGGAATGTTGAGATAATGTTGCTCGACTGTTAAAGTTGTATTTGACTGTTAAGCATATGAATGAAAATCCCAGTTGGATATACATTTTTCACATGTAATACGCTTTACTTAATACAATATACACACGCAAGCTAAACATCAGTTTGCACATTTATTCTTTTTTGTCAAAAGCGGAATTAGATATATATAAAACACATTTATATATTCATGAATGCTTAAGCAAATATAGCTATGCTTAGCTGTCTTTTACTGGGCTTTTCGGCCCAACAGGCATATACTGTAGGCATGCTTAGCTGTCCGACTGGGCTACTCGAGCACTGTTGCTCGACTGTCGCTGTCGCTCATAGACTTCTCGCTGCAGTTCGCGCAGATTTAGCTCCAATGTTTCCACCACATCGAAGTTCAGATCTTCCCGCGCCTGCTTGATGTAACCTTTGATTATATTGATTTGCTCAATTAGAGGATCATCAACCAATGTTACGGTCGTTGAGGCTTGGGGCGCTGACCAATTGTTCAGTGATTGCAGATCGGACTGCAAAGAAAAGTTAATTAATAATTTAAGCAAGTGCAAATTAGTTAAAGCTTACGCCCTGGGCAAAGCTGCGACTTTCTTGAGTAACTCCAGCCTGGGCCGTTGATCCTTTTCGCTCGTGTGCCTCCATGGCCATGCGCTGCTCTGTCAGTATCCGTTGCTCCGTTTCGATTCGTTTGCGCTCCTGAATCTGTCTTATGTACCCCTCGTCCGGCAGCGGAGGCAGAGAGAGCATACGCTCCTTTATGGCCTGCACGCAGCTCAATCGTATGGCCTTCTTGAGCGCCTCATCGCGGCTGCCTGGTTCCGAGTGTATGGTCAAAATTCGTTTGCTGCGCAAATCTATTTTTTCCGCAACTTGTCCGATCTTTCCACGCAATGCGCCCGCATCCGCCAGTGTAAAGATGGATTCGCCTTCATGCAAACTATTGACAATCTTCAGATACATATCCAGGTCCGGCGTCACTTGTTTCTGCAGCTGCCTAATCTCCTCATAGACCTGGGCGAGCAGCGGTCGGCACGTGCGACTCTCGTGCATGTCCTGCCGCGTATCCAGTAGCCACAAGCAATGCTGACACAGGCGTATGGCGCGATAATCCGGATGCTGCAGCTGCTGCAAAGGTTCGCCACGTGTGCTGGACAAGCTAGCCAAATGCACTGTAGGAGAGACACAGATATAAAAGCTGCATTTAACAGACATAGCTTTGCACCAGCTTACATGCGTTCTCCAGCTGCAGGAAGCGGGAGCAATCGTTGCACATGATGCCGCCGCAGAGCCTGCAATGATGCTGCCGCCTTGCAATGTGAAAGCTTTTTGCGCAGTTGGGGCACAGCTTTACAGAGCTGCCGTCTAACCAAGGCACCGTGAGCTGTTCGTGCTGCTTGCGCTGCACTGCATCCGTGGGCAAATCCTTAAGCAGGCGATGCAGCCGAATAATCAGCTTATTCGTCTCGCTAGCATAACGCTCCAAGCGTGGATTGCGCACTGTCTGAAAGTAATCGAAATAGGAACGCTCGGCGCCTGCAGTCTGTTTCGACATATTTTGGTACACATTTAGCTGTGCCCTCCCACTGCTTGGCTTGGCTCCTGCTCCATTGGAGCCACTTGCATTGCTGGAATTGGCAGCTGGTGAGGCAGCTGACGGCGCACGACTGCGTTCATCGTCGAAATTGTTAAGAATCTTTTTCTTAGCTTTGGTGAATATATCCTTAAACACAGATTTGAGAGCATCCTGATCCTCGGCGTGCTGGCGTGCAAAGTGTTCGGTCAGGAAATCAATCGATTTCAAATCGGCACGGCAAATGGGACACAGAAAGCCTTCCAGTATCTCATCGCTGCTGGCGCTGGGCTCCTCCTCGGTGCTATCAAAGGGATTACCCGACATGCTGTCATGGATTTATTTTCTTTCTGTTTTTGTGGGTGTATTTTTGTTGCCTTGCTGCTGGGCTAGAAGCGATGTGACAAGTGCTGCACACTAGCCATGTGTTTGTAGAATTTATTGATAACAATTTATTATTAGATACTTTCTGAATACTTTAAAATATTTGATTTTAATTAAATTTTAAAAAATTCCCTAAGAGCCACCCACTCGGGCAAGATATGAGGGGTTTGCCATTCACATGTAAACGTGCTGTTCAGGCCAAGTACGCTGTTACAGCCTAACGTACATATATAGGCGCAAAATGCCAATCACATGAAAGCCTGCTGTTAGCTGTTCAAGCGGAGTACGCTGTTACTTCACATATACAACCAAGCAAAATTGAACGAATTGAAAAAATATTTAACATAAAATTCTTAATAAAACGAACATTGCCGATCAATTTTGTTTTTGTATAACATAAATCTTAATAACAATTAATCTAAGCTTAATCTTCATCACTAAATTCATCTTGAGCTTCAGTTTTTCTCGACTTGCGCTCCAATTCGCGTGCCAAAAGTTCCTTGAATGCTTCATATTCGGGCAGTGTAACACGACATATTTTTGTTGCAAAGGATTTTTCTGAGGTATCCGTTATTTGATATAGTCGATGATTTGTCGTAGGCTCATCGGGATCAGCCTTGAGTGGGCGTGGCTTAAACAAGCCCAAACGAACCAGAAAAATGTGACGACAGCGTAAATCCTCGAAAGGCAAAGACAAAGCCGAGGATTTTACAATCTCTGGCACCTCAATGCGCATTATATCGAACATATAGTTCAACTTCTCCTCTATTAAGTTTTCCGGCTGTGCCATCAAGTCCGGACTATTCATCAGCACCTTCCACACATTTTTATTCGTCGACAGTCGACTCTTCAAATAGGAGCTCAGTGTGAGCAACTGATGGGCATCAGTAACGTCCAGCAGCTCTGGATATTTAGTCAACAAAAGGTGCAACAAGGTCTCGCCGAATTGACAAGCGCGCCAAATCTCTAAAGTATTAATTATTCGGTCTGGCGTGCGTTTCAGGATATTTGGATTTCCAGTCACGATGCGTAGAAAGCTCATGGTTTCCAGTCCATGATTTTGAAAAGTTTCGTGCGCCCTTCGCCATATTTCGGGAGTGTAAATTGCCAATGCAGGCTCCATTTTAACGGCTTCCTCAATGTGAATTTGCTCCAGTTGCAATAATTTTGGTGCAGTTGCCTTTGCTGCAAGCTGGCGCAGATTCAAGCTTTTAAGCTGCAAAACGCCGATGATTTTAATATTTATTTAGAGTAACAATACCTTTATACATACTTGTTGCACTTTTTGTGCTTTAAATAATACTCTCCACATTATCAAATATTTTGCGCAATTATGTATATTTTTTGTTTTATCAAAACAACAGTAACAGCTGTTTGCCAACTGCTGTTCTTTAAATTAACAGTGATAGAGCAGAGGTGCTGCACTGTTAGACATTCCTGAATGATACTATATTGTCTGTTATACTATTACGAGCAACGGCCAATAAGCTTAAAACGAATTTCTTTAAGTGTTGGTCATGAAAGTATATATATATATAGGCAGTATTGTATATAGTTTATAAAGTTATGAAAATAATTGTTTCATATAGTGTCATATAGACATATGTTATGCTTAATATAAACAATGTTAGCACATGTACCACTGCTGCAACCCTGGTAACTCAATCAGCTGCATCGTCAGCAAACGCCGCGTTCGTAAATTGTTAATTAATTTATTTAAACTATGGGCAAGAGTAAGAAGAAAATACGTGAGCAAAACGCTATAAGAGAAGCCGTTCAAGCAAATACACAGCGACTGGAGACATGCAACGATGCCTATACGAGCGGTGCATTTCATTACTTGCGTTTTCTGGTTCACTTGCTGGCCGCTGCACAATTCTGCTACGGAATTTACTATTATCTATTTAAATTGGATTGGCCGGAGGGTTTACATGAAGAGGAAGAGTTAAAAACCCGCTGGGGTGGCAAATTCAAGTATCTGACCTTTCTCGATGTCATTGTGCAGGCCTTTTACCACATCATAGCGTTGTTAAATGATTTATTCGGCAATAATGTAGTGACCGTGGCTCCTAAGTCTCTGTTACGGCAGCTACGTGATTATGTATTCGCTACGTTTGCATTTCCCATTGCCCACAATGTGTGCATCTCCTTTTGGGTAATTTATTTGTATGATCGTGAGCTCATCTTTCCCGCCGCCCTGGACGAAATATTTCCCAGGCAAGTGTGACCATATATTTATTGTTTATTTAATTGTTGCTATTGTTGAACTGGTTCATTGCAGCTGGCTGAATCATGTGGTTCACACAAATGTTGCGCTTCTGGCTATCATGGATATGTTCACCTGCTTCCGGCATTATCCTAGTCGATTGGCCGGTGTCACCGGCAACGTAGCCTTTATGATTCTCTACGTAATTTGGGTGAATATTGTGCGCTATTTTAGCGGCCAATGGGTTTACCCCTTACTCGAAATCCTGCCCATACCTCTGCGTGCTGTGATGTTTGCTGGCTTGGTGGGTTTGAGTGTGATCTGCTACTTTCTGGGCGAATTCATTAACAATATTGTTTGGGCGCCAGAATTTAAGCTGTTACAGCGAAAGCAGGTCAAAGAAAACTAAAGGGAATAGTGCTTACTTTCTATATACTCACGTGTACAAGCTGGAGATTAGGTTATTCTTATTCGTTTGCCCATAGAGTCTGTTGTATAATACACTCCGTTGTGTGTAAAATAATTGTTTAATTTAAGTAAGAGCTTACAGTAAATACAAAAATACTAAAAATACCAGATGAAGTTTTATCTATTCGCTCAAGTTCAAATAGCGCGCCCTCTATCGATTACTAGTTATCGGTTAACTAAACTATGGTTGCATCACAACTATACTTCTGAGTAAGATCTGCAGCTTAATTTGAAAACCAATTTAAAATAAAACACCTACAAAATGCAATATTTCAACTTTTGAAGCTTGATGTCAAATGCAAATATGCAACAATCGCATCACTACGCAAATGCGGATTTCTTTTCAATTTCATGAACGAAACAGTTTGACAACTCTAGCGACGGCAAGGCGAATGAAAATTGGCTAAACAGCAAGCCGAGTGAACACAATGGAATTGTGTTAACGATAACGCACATGTAAGTGAAAATCAAAACGTTTTGACTAACTAAACGAATGCTGTGGGAAAAGTGCCGAATTTATCGTCTGAATTGTTTTTTAAACGGGCTTTGTTTTTTTTTTGTGGTCGGGTGAGTGTGTGCGTGTGTGCGAGCAAGATGGCATAGTGTGCATATGTGTTAGTTGTGCCAGGGCTGCCAACCTGATAGCTGCGCGTTTGCATAGACAGCAGCGCTCAGCTGTTTGGTCAAAGCAGCATGTGTCGCAACATTGTGCGGCAACAAAGTTTGACAAGCACTGTGCAATCTTGTTAATGATAACGAACATTTGTTTAATTCTTGCTTTTTACCCATTTTTTTTAGACAATGCCACTCGCGTCGCCTAGCTAACTCTGTTTACCTCCTCATCAACATTGGCCGTTAGCAGCTTCCACCATTGCATTTGCATCATTCTCACTGCCAGGCACAGCAAAGAGACCAATCAAACATGCCCATAAATGATGTGGCTGCAGCTTTAATCTACACAGAGCACGGCAACGGCAAGCACGTCAAGCCACAACCAACAACAACTGCATCAACAACGGGAGCAACAGCTGCAGCAGCTGCCATGACCAACTCATCCAAGTCGGATGTGATTGCTGGTGCTGCAGCAGCTGCAGCTCAGCTTGGCAACATGTTGGCGCCAGCTCTGAGCAGCATGCAGGGTCAGAAGTGGCAGCAGGTCTTTGATCTGGACAAAATGATCAAACAGCTGCGCGCAGCGGAGAAGACGCAGCTGCGTGGCAACAGCAAAGCATCGGCTGCTGGCGGTGGTGTTGCGCCACATGTGGTGCAGGTGCAACGTTTGAACGCCTCTGATATGGCTTACTACGACATGGTGCCAAAGCTGGCGACACGCGACATTGTTGTGTGCAACGCCTGCAATGGCAGCTACACCAAGGCCGGTTTCAACAATCACATAGCACTGCAGCATCCCAGCATTTGGGATGCGGCATCCAACAAGCTGAACAGCAATGCCACCGGCGCCACAGCAGCAACGGTTTCTGCTGTCGCTGATAGCAGTCAGGATGGTGAGCTGTTGGGCTCACCGACGGATACGCTGTCAGCGACAATGTCCAGCTGCTCGAATGGCTCCAGCAGCTCCTTAGCAGCTATCAATAATAATAATAATATCAGTTCGGCCTCGTCTTCGTCGTCGTCGCGTCATAAAAGCAGCAGCAGCAAGAGTAGCAGTTCCTCAAAGACCGGCAGCAGCAGCAGCAACAGCAGCAGCAGCACTGGTCGTTCACGTTCCAAGTCATCCAAGAATCGCCATCATTCGGATGTGCATCACACCAAGGTGGGTGGCTCCAAGAAGAGCAGTGCCATAGCAACAGCTGCAACAGCACCTGCACCAGTTGCACCTGTTGCATCCGTATCCGCATCAGCAGCGACTGTGGCTGCCATCAAGGAGGAGCTGCCAACAGCTGCGCAACCCGCTATAACTGTCTTCTCCTCGTCATCGAATTCGTCGTGCTCGCTGCCACCGACGCCGGCAACTGTTGCCGGCAATGGAAACGGCAACGAGCATGGCATCAACTACTCACCCGCCAACAACATGCTGGACGAGCAGCAGCCAAGCAAAAAGAAGGTATTGCATATAGTTATACGCATAACAAGCAACATTTAAATATTTGTTACAAATCATTGTAGCTGAAAACTACAGGAGCAAGTGAAGCAACATCTCATCATCGCAGCAAACCCGCCAAGGAGAAGCAATTGGCCCCGCTCTACGAACAGCAGCAGCAACAGCTAAGCGAATTGGATCAGGCTGTCTCCTCTATCACTGGCCAGGTGAATGTGGAGCCACAGCACCTGCAGCAACGCCATCAAGTCGACTTGTCCGCCGTCACCGACGAGTCACTGCCTATAATGCATAATACATCCGATGACAATTCCATATCGCTGACACTCGATATGCTGGATAGCAAGTTCATCAATGAAATACTGAACACTGTCGAATCGGATATACCCTTCGATGAGAGCGCGCTGGACACATCGCAACAGCAACAGCAGCAGCAGCAGCAGCAACAACAGCAGCAACAGTTGGCAGCGGAACAGCTGGAGCCAAATACGAAGCGCTTGCGCTTTGATGATGGCACAATTCATGCCGATGCAGCCGACTATGCAGCTGCACTCTATCAGCAGCAGCAGCAGCAGCAGCAGCATGGGCAACAGGTGTACAACGAGGAGCCACAGCAGACACAACTGACTGCCATGGATGCGATGCAGCTGCAGCAGCTGATCTACCAGCAACAGCAAATGCTCGAGCAGGCAGATCAGCAACAACAACAGCAGCAGCAGCAGCAACAACAGCAACAGCAATTGAAGCAGGAGGAACTGCAGGCAGAGGCGACGGCACAATTTAGCGTATACAATGTGCCCTCGCTGACAGACGATGCTGATGAGGCAGCACAGGTGGCCACCGACGAGCAATTGATGCTGCCCAGCATTATCTATGAGATTACCGACAATAACCAGGTGTCCGTCTTGGATCAGCAGAGCCAGCAGCAGGTCATAGCAGAGTTTCTCACACAAGCGGGCTACGACAATGTCGATGTGAATGTGAACGTGTTGCAGGAGGGAGTTAATGTCGGCGGCGGCAATCATATGCACGATGAACTGGGCGATTTTGATTTTAGCAAACTGGAGACTGTTAGCGCGGAAGCCAACAACCACACAAAGACTGTCAAGCTGGAAAACAACCAGCCACAACAACAACAACAACCACTGCAACCACTGCAACCAACAGCTAGCAACAGCAATGGCTTCAATAGCTTCGAAAGCGTGTTGCCTGCACAGCCACATCGCCAATTGGCTAATGCCAAATACCATGAGGATTCAACGTACTTTAATATGACTCTATACGCAGGTCCGCCTCGCCCCCTGGCCATGAACACCTTTGGCCTGGTCAAGCTGCCCAATGGCATGGGCGCCACGCTCCGTAAGAATCTTCTAACGACCCGCAAGGCCAACAATAGTTTGCTATCGCTCAATGGTAGCAGCGGAGTTGTGGGCACCTTAGCGCGTGCCCCACCACCGCCACCGACTGTTAATTGCAATGGTAGCAACGGCTCGCAGCAACTGTTGCTGCCACGTGTTACTGCCAGCCAGGGCAAAACAATCTATGCCCAAAGATGCAGCGTCATAGCGCAGGAACGACTCCGATGCAACAAGCGAGCGTTGCTCAATAAACTAAGCAACGGAAGCAGCAACAGCACTGGCAACATGACCGTAAAGCGCCTACATGAGCTGCTGACGGGCAAACTGAAGCCGGACAGGGAAAAGGACAAAGAGAAAGCAGAATACAGCGAAGCCGGCGAACAACAGCAACAGCAGCAGCAGCCGCAGCAGCAGGAGGAGAATAAGCGCATGCTCAGTTTCTATGAGAAACGGCGCAAGTTGCTAGCAGCTCGACAGCATCGACCATTGCTTATTGGCAGCAGCAGCAGCAACAATCGCTCACTTATGCGTCGACGACCTATGCATTTACCGCTGCAGTTGCACGGCAACCACAACAACGGCCACAATAACAACAACGCCATTGGCAGTCCGCAGCAACAGTTGCTGAAGAAACAGCTGCTGCGCACACTGTCAGACAGCAGCAACATTCAAGTGACGGCAACTGCTACGGCTGCAACTGTTGGCGGCAATGGCAGCAGCAACAACAATCCGTGGAAGAGTAACAGTTCGACGCCAGGCAGCAACTCGGCGGGCAGCGATCTAATGCGTGTATTTGTCTGAATATATATACAAATACATATACATTATACAAAATATGCTAAATGATTATGATTAACAATTATGATTATATATACACACACACACACATACACATACACACACCTAGAGCTATGTTAGTAATTTTAATTATTATTTAAATCAATGTTTTTCATTTTTTTAAAGTGATAATTAGTTTTTGGCTAATTGATTGTACGTAGCTTCTTTTGTTAGTTTATGCACTAAGTTTAATTTAATTTTGGATGTTAAGCTAAACAGCATTATGTTGATAATCCCCCTCTAATTTATACAATGTAAACTTTTAAATATAATTATATATATATATATACATATATATATATATATACGTATATATGTATACAAATGCATGCATACGTTTAAAATTCGCGCTAAAATGTGATTGGAACCACTAGTTCTTATTGTAAGATGTGGGGAGACACGCAATTAACATAAATATTCGTGGAACTAATATGCCAATGCTAAAAAAGTATATTTTAAATAGCATGTTAACATAATTATTTAAATTTCAATTAACAGCTGTTGATTGCATTGCCTAGCTCCACATTTAATGTGAACAACTTAAATGCAATACAGTGAGAACCTCGCGTTTAAATATGTTATCGATAGCAATATCGCTATCGAACAGGGGTTTGTATGTGCCGGTGTTTTGTTTTTGCTGGGTACGTGTTTTGTTATTAATGTAATAAAATGTAATTAATTAATAATATTTCTCGCAATATTGAAAACTATAAGCGAAACACATCAACTGGCTGCAGCGTACGCTCATGTTAGGCAATTCGACTGATATCTTATTGATTTCTGTGTGTGCACATCAGTTTGCCAAAAAAGAATGCGCTCAATCAATGCACAAATTATTTGCAGCATTCTGTTGAGCTGCCAATACGTGCAGTGTACCTTGTCTCCCCACAGCAAAAGCAAGAGCAAACAAAGAGAATCGAAATTTCTACGTGGTCCACAGGACAACGATGTGTTTACCTTGGATTTGGTGTCAGTGGAGCCACTGGCGAAGGACATACTAATACATCATGAGAGCTACTATAAGGACACGGCGTTACGGCGTTTCAATGGCACTGTGCTGGGCTATGTGACGCCGGCAAGTCTTGCAAAACTGCAACATAGCAAACACCTTAACTAATTATTAAGTTTCTTGCAGTGGAATTCACATGGTTATGATGTAGCCAAAATCTTTGCCAAGAAATTTGATATCATCTCCCCTGTCTGGCTGCAAATTGTGAAACATGGCGATGATTATGCTATAGCGGGCGACCACGACATCGATGCCGGTTGGCTAAACGATTTACGGCGCAAAGGCAAGGTGCAGCAAAATCAGAGACTGCGTACAGTAAAAGGTAAAACTGATGATAATCTGGGATGTCATATATACCTGCTCTATTTATCTATTTTTAAACCTTTCTAGTCTTTCCTCGCATTATCTTTGATCACTTTACGGATCGTGATATTAAGCTGTTGCTGAGCGATGCAAAGGAGCGCACATCGTTAAATGAAATGCTGATCCGAGTATGCAAACAGCATGGATTCGATGGCTTGGTCCTGGAGGTGTGGTCGCAGCTGGCAGGACGTATAGACGATAAGATACTCTACACCTTAGTGCTGCAAATGGGTGCATACGATCTCATATTACAATATTCAATATTCTTATCTAAATCTGTGATCTTACAGCCAAGGAGTTGCAGAAGAAACAAATTAGGCTTATACTAGTCATTCCGCCACAACGCAAGGGCATGCCCAATTTGTTTGGCGAGAAGCATATGGATAGGCTATACAAGTACATATATGCCTTCTCCCTGATGACATATGATTACTCCACGGTGCAGCGACCAGGCGCAAATGCTCCCCTCTATTGGGTACGCTCGGCTGTGGAGCACATTGTGCCTGATGGTTGCCCAGAAATGGAGGTGAAGCGTGCTAAAATATTGTTGGGTCTGAATATGTATGGCAATGATTATACGCCCGATGGCGGAGGACCCATTACATACGGGCCGTACTTGGAGCTGGTCAGACATGTGAAGAAGCAACTGACCCATGATGAACGCGACATGGAGAACTTTTTCGAGATTAGGTAAATGGCCATTAATTCCACTTACTGTTGAACACTAATAGAAGGCTTATGCTTTAGAACTGAGACTGGACGTCACATTGTGTTTTATCCCACGCTTTATTCGATCAATGAGCGTATCCAATTGGCACAGCAGCTAGGCGTTGGCATCTCTATTTGGGAGCTAGGCCAAGGATTGAATTACTTTTACGATCTCTTTTAAAAGGCAACGCATTCCAGTCTAGTGAATATCTCTGTTTGATTTTGCTTTACTTATAAAAAATCTGATAATTGTGCACAATATATTTTGCCCCTTTTTTTATTATTTGTGTTTGTCAAATCGGATTTTTCGCTTCAATTAAGCGCCAACCAAGGAAATTTTCGACTTATCGATAGATAAAATCCCATGAAATGTCCAAATGGCCTGCAGCCCTAGTTCACGTATTCGCCAAGGAATCAGAGTCCAACCAGAGTTCTGAAATAGCTTGAATATATTAAAAGTTGAGTTAAAATGAGAGCCTAAACGAACAAGTAAAAAGAAAGAGTACAATAGTAAAAATAAAAAAAATATCTAATACAGAAAAATTGATCAGTTGATATTAAATATTTTCAAAATTCTCAATAAAATTACCGCGCGAATGTCTGTCACCCCTGGTATATCCATCTCGTTATTTTTGCCAGCCCTTTTACTTGCATTTCATTTTTGCATTTGTTTACATCACCGGTTGTCTGTAATTTGCAGTTAATAGCAAGATGCGTTTGATTTACGCATGCTTTGTGATACTACTGTGTGCGATAATCTTTTGCGAATACGTGGCCGACTTTGTGGTACTACAAAACTGCAAATGGCCCGAAATACGCCGCAAGAAATATGTGGATGATCCGCTGCGAGCGATGATTATAGCCGATCCCCATTTGCTTGGCCCGAATCATGGCCATTGGATGGACAAGTTATATCGTGAGTGGCATATGAAACGTTCGTTTCAAGCCGGCTCCAGGTTGCTACAGCCGGACATTGTTTTTGTGCTCGGTGATTTATTCGACGAGGGCGACATGGTCAATGATCAAAACTTTCATAAATACGTAATGCGTTATCTGCAAATGTTTAATCTGCCTGCTGGCATACCGCTAATCAGTGTAGTAGGCAACCACGACGTGGGCTTCCACTACAAGTAGGTCATATGGAGTGTAAATTGGAAGACTCGTAATCTTGTTCTTAACCTTTGCAGGATGCATCCCTATTTTATGGATCGTTTCGAGCACTATTTAAACTACTCCATGGTGCATTTGTATACCATTAAGCAAATACACTTTGTTATGATCAATTCCATGGCCATGGAGGCAGACGGCTGCAGATTTTGCAGTGAGGCCGACAGTGCGCTGCAGACTATATCGAGCACTCTGTTTTGCATGCAGCATCCGCATGTGGCGGAATGCGCACGGACGCGTCGTCATCCTTATAGCCAGCCGATCGTAATGCAACACTTTCCCACGTATCGAATATCGGATAAGGTGTGTCGAGAGCATGATGCGCCAGTCATCGAGGCGTTTAGAGAGCGTTATCATGTTCTCTCCAAAGAGGCGACCGATACGATAGGCGATCTTTTGAAGCCAAGACTTGCCTTTGCTGGGCATTCGCATTACTATTGCCACAATATCAATCGACTGGGGATAGATGAGTATACGGTGTCGTCCTTTAGCTGGCGCAATAATGTAAATCCCAGCTTTATGCTGGTAAGTTTTAAGCATTTGCTTCTGAATGCTTTATGCTGAACTCACTTTCTTATTTAGGCCACCATTACACCCGATGACTATGCGGTTTTCAGATGCAAAATGTTGCCACAGCAATTTGTAATCAATAGCTACCTAAGTGCAGTCTTTGCGTGTCTTGTGCTCTTCGCCTGCCAGATAAAAAACTATTGGAGCAGCAAGAGGCTAGCAGCGACGGAGATAGCCCATTCGAAGCAACATTAACTACAGTATGAAATAATCGTAGATTTGTGATTCTTGGCCAAAGTATAGAGGCTTAAATTTAAATATCTAGCTAACATAATATGTTGTAGAATATGCGCTCAATCCCTAGACTCTCATATCAATAACAATGAAACTTTATATATACATACATATATATATAATTATTTATTTATTTATTAATCTTTTTATCACAGACATAATGCTTGCTGCAGACTTAATTGAACAACAAACAAACAAAAATGCCAAAAGAAAATACAATTTAACTGGAATACAACTTAAACTAAACAAAAACACTTTTCAATAAAGCAACAGATTCATAAATTCCTGTACCTGTGTGTGTGTGTAAGTGTGTAAGTGTGTGTGCGCCCTTCTGAAACTTTGTACTACTTACTAAACTAAGATTAGGTTAAAGTTAAACTAACTTACAGAATGTAGTAGGAGCTGCGACTCCCGTGTGTTTAGGAATTCGTTGTGTAGTTAACTTAAGTTGACTTAGGCATCTTGTTCTATTTTGTAATTATGTGCGATTCAGCAGATTCGTTTGCGGCTGCTGACGGCTGACAAAACACTCCTTGGGCAAAAATCGATGTAAAACTGGCGAGATTAGCTGCGCATCAAGTGTCTTCACATCTGTGGGCTTCGTCAGCAGCGAGACAATGGAGCCGACAACAATGACGGTGGCCACGCCAATCGGATTGATCCAGTGATACGACAGACGATAAAGTGGAAACACATCCTCCTCGTCCACCCAGTTGTGTTCGGGCAGCGTTATATTTGTCGTACACTGCTCCACGGACACGTTGAGTTTCTGTGAGTTGAGCTGACCCGCTGCAATGGTAAACTGTGTGCCAAAGGATATCCAACCAGCCAGCAAGGCGCCCGCAATGCCGCCGACCGCTGTGCCTACATTATTCGCCCACGGCACGAGCATGCCCAGTGTAAAGAGGCCGAAGGTGGTGCCCGCTGCAATGGCCGTCATGGAGGTGCAGATGCTCAATACGCCACTTAAGTGCTCCAGCACCAGAACAAGCGACAGCGCAATTGCGCCCAACACTATAATGCTGCCCTTAACCAAGATTGTGGAGGCGCGTTCACTGGGCTGAATCTTAAAGCAGCCCCGCACAATGTCCTCCAATATGACCAGCGAAGTGGAGTTGAGCACCACAGACAGGGAACTCAAGGCGGCACCGAAGATGCCCGCTATGAAGAGACCAGCCATCCCAGAGATATGTCCCACAGTCTGCACCACATACAGTGGCAGCAGCTGGTCATCGTGCGTGATGAGGCCTGCCGAGAGAGGATCACAATTCTGGTACTTCTCGAAGATCAGCAGACCCACATAGCAGCAAACAGAGACGAAGGCAGCCACGCCAATTGTGAATATGGCCATCGAGGCACGCGCCTGCTTCAGCGATGGCAGCGACATGTAACGCTGCACCATGGTCTGATTGACGGCGTTGAAGGAGATCCAATACGAGAAGCCACCAATGAGCACGCTCCAAACCGTGTGACGCACATAAGGCGATGGATTTATATTGGTAAAGATCAGACGTTCACCCTTGGCGGCATCATCGAACAACTTGTCCAGTCCGTTGGCATAGAACGTGCCCAACACAGCCACAACCAGCACCGAGAGGAACATAACAAGCGTCTGCCAGGCATCTGTATGGACGACAGCCTTAATGCCACCAACAAAGGTATAGAAGACACACACGATCACAATCACCGCCGATATCACATGCAAATTGATGCCAGAGACTGTGAAGCGAGATCGAGTGAGCGTTTTAATATTTGCCACAGATGAGGTGCCTGAGGGAATTTCTTACCTTGGTTCAATGCAATAGCGGGCACATATACAATGAAAGGCAGGAAGAGTATCTGAAAAGAGACGACTCATTTGTCATAACTATGCTGTGGATGCTTAGCTCAGCTATACTCACCTCATCCAAGATGAACATGAATGAGGCAATGCTACGTATCACCGAATGGAAGCGCATTTCCAGATACTGCAAATAGAAGAAATATGTATATAGGAAAGTGTGTGAAAAGAGTATATTGGCTTTGTGTAATATTCGCCTTGCTGTACAAAAGCTTTAGCTAAGTTACTATAGAGACTCATAAAAAAGATTCTACTCTTTCTATATATCTTATATAGTACTTCATAGGATTGTAAATATGTCCAGCTCATTCGTGACAAATGTGCATAATACATTTTGCAACTGTCCTACTGCCTAGCCATTAGTGAAGCTAGCTAATTAAAGGCCTTCAGTAGCTAATGACATACAATAAACCCTTTGAGTCAAATACCTATTCATGCCAAATAAGATGAAAATTAATAAAGCACGCAACCTTGAACCAGTTGCCCCAACAAAAAGCGGGAAGTAATTATCCTAACCCGAAACACAGAGACTCCAACAACAACTGTCAACTGGCTATGAAGCTCATTTGTAACAAAAAAAAATAGAGAAAGAGAGAGAGAGAGAGAAAACCTATCATCTATGAGCAAAAAAATATACAAATAATAATTCCAAGTGAAGCGTACAAAGTCCATTTCGGAGCAACATTTGCTCAAGTCTTTGCCTTAATTAAAATGTTCTCGACTTGGGTTACAAATTGGCCAAACATAAGGTTTCAATGCACAATGACAAATCGAATGAAAAACAGTATGGAATGCTGCAGTCGGGCGCCATTGACTGCATAATACTCGTTCAAAAAACAGTTAAAACATTTTTGATGTCTCTAGAGGAATCTACCTTCAAAATTGTAGAAGATGTCTACATTTTATGTCTCAATTTAATAGGCGTATATTGCATCAAACCTATATACTCTGTGCAGCTCGTGAACGAGTAAAAACATTGCAATCTGAACAATTTTGACGAGATGAAAAATGAGAACAAATTAATTAAGTTTATTGACTTATTGCTTTAAATAAATACTATAGACTACGACTAATGATTCTAATACTAAATAAATAGACATTTTTGATCAATTCTCTATGATAAACCATATCTATAAATGACACATTTTATCTTCCTGAAACTAAAAACCTAAGAAATAAACATTCATATTTTCCTATTAAAAATATAAATATATATATTGCACTTAAAGCTGACTTTTGTTAAAATCTTAAAAAAAGATTAAATTTTAAATATATATAAAATGAATAATAAAAAATTGCAATATTTTAACGTATTGTTTTTATTTTATAAAAACGGATTTTAAATTCAGAAATTAATTAGAGATCATAAATTGTACTGATATATATATATATATATATATATATATATATATATATATATATATATATATATATATATATATATATATATATATATATATATATATATATAAACTTCAAAATAAATAAATAAAGACAGATCTTATCTTCTGCTAAAATATATATAAACTTGTTCGACTTTTGACGTCATTATTGAAGAAAGATATATAAATGAGTAATAAGTTATATTTATGGAAATCTTAGATCTTTGCAAAAACTCAATTTCTATATAAATATAGGTATAAGTGCATAATATAGAAATGACTTATATTTTCACTTATACTTATACTTATACCTGTTCTTATACTAATACTTATACTTATATATTAATACATATATATTAATACTTATATTTCTACTTTTACTTGCTCTTATACTTATACTTATACTTATATTTATACTTATACCTATACTTATACTTATGCTTATCACTATAGCAATTAAAAGCTATAAGAAATTGAATATTGTAAACATTCATATTGACCTTATACAACAAATATGGCCAAATCAATAGACATGTACGTAATATCCCTAATAAAATATCAAAACAAGAGTCTAGTTACGCTTTCTTATCGTTTGTGGCTGTGATTCGAATTAACGGCTTAGTTTATACGCAGAGCTTATAAAGTTTATGAATCAGATAAAGATATAGAAAACAATGTATTTGTGTGCATACCTCATAGGACGAGCCGACTTGCAGTACCGTAAAAACTGGTATATATACATAAGAGACAGCGATGCCTTGTAATAGAATGGCTATGGCTATAAACCAGTATTGTGTGCCATAATTATATATCTCTGATGTGGTGCCCAGTATCGTGACGCCCGATACATAGCTGCAGATAAGAGAGATAAATGACAGATAGTGTCTATATACCTGCATATATATATATATATATCTCGGTTACCTGGCTATCAGACTCATGGCAACAGGAAAAACTTTCAATTGACGCGATCCCAGCAAATATTCGCTCATCTTAGCCGACCCAAAATCATGTTCTTTGACAACACTGCCGGGCAAGGTAGGCTCCACTTCCTCAATGGACTTTTTAGTTTTTCTAAAATAAAATACATTAAATATAGAGTCGGGTGGGTCCGACAGTGTAATACTCGTTCATATTCCAAAATAATCTACATTACAATAAAAATTAGATGTTTATTAAAATGTATAATTGGACTAATTGGAGAGCATTTCAACAAGGTCCTTCAGTGGGCGTATTAAAAACAAAATTAGCATAGGCTATGCTGAGTTAAAATGGTAAATTTGAAATCATAAAATTAACAAAAAAATATTATTTAAATTTGAAATCTGCCTAAAGTCCCATAGACACAAAACCGATATACTCCTTTCACTACATAAACGAGTATTAAAATAAATAAATCTCACTTGTAGCAGCTGAAGTAAATGCCCGTTCCAGTGGATAGCACAATCATGCCCAGAAATATAGTATAGTCAATACTGCCGAATCTGTAGTCACTCTTCTGTAATAAATTATTTTTATATGATATGTATTATTATTTCCTTTTTTGTTTTCGAGCGCATCCGTTAGATAAAGTTGAGTTTTATCTCTAAATGTATAGACAAGTGGTATAAATCAACGTGTTTGGCTAGCCTTTGACAATGTAGAGAGTTTTTTGGCTGACTTTCTAATAAATTAAACATTTTGTGGTTTGTTTAAATTATATTTAAATTAAAATAACTAATAAAAATAAAAAAAATATATTTAATTAATATTTCTTCTATTATTTTTTAATTTGTTCCTTATATACATAAAAAAATATATTTATTTATTTGTCATTTTTAATGGACAATACACTTTTTAAAAGAAGAATAAATTTAAAAAAATAACTAAAGAAACAATTTTGGATCTGATTAACATTGACTACAAGGAAATAAATTAATTGAAAATTTGTATACATTTTATTTTCAATTAGAATAAAATCTGAACAAATTTTAAATTTGTTACCAAAAAAATATATATATATAAAAATAAATATATATTCATTGTTATAAAAAATGTTTAACAACTTAAATAAATTTCAAATTCATTAATAAAATTTAACAAATAAAAAAGTTGTATGTTTTATAAACTACATTTTTGTAAACTACAAAAATTTTAAAATTGTCTGACCTAATTTTTTTTGAAACTATAGAATTCTAAATAGTTTATTTTAACCACTTTACTCTACTATATTTAATATAACAAACTTGACCAAATTTAAAGTTCAAAGAGTAAAACTAATTCAGTTGAACTCAATTAATATTTATTGACATTCTAAATCAATATTCAGTATCACTAAAAACTGTTTTATTACTGTTTTTTTTTTTAATCAATTAGTCTTTTTCTATTTTGGTTTTACATTATTATTTTAATTCTTATTGAATTACTTAGAAACAGCTCACAAAATAAATCTGTTTTGTATTAACGCAACTTAAATAAAGCTAAGTAAGGTAAAGTTCGTTAATGCGCTATCAAACCTGCTAAAACTTATCTTGTAGATTTTTTTTTTTTTGATAAATACAAAAACTTTTCACGCCTTCTCAATGGGCCTAGATGACTAGAAGTCTTTACAGGGGGGACTTTAACCTTTTACGCAACGAACGTCAAAAATACTTTATCGCAATTTTGAACTTTGAAACGGACGCGCTTCAGACTGATATATATTAACATATGTACATATAAAGATATAAATATATATGCATATGCATTTATATATATACAATATATATATATATATATATATATATATATATATATATATATATATATATATATATATATATATATATATATATATATATATATATATATATATATATATATATATATATATATATATATATATACATATATATACATATTTTGGGGAATGACCTTTAATTTAATACGTTAACCGGTCTTAAATCGTACGCTTACCGTATCCATATTGATGTTCCCTTTAATTTACCGGTTGAAAATCGAAAGCAAAACAAATGAAAACAAATAAAAGTAAAAAGAACTCACACAAAATGCCGCTAACAACAACAACAAAAATGTGCGTTGCTTACGAAAAACAAAGCACAGCGGAGGGGAAGAGACAGCAAGAAAGAGTGAAACAGAGAGAGGGCAACAGTGGGATTGCAATGTAGGAAAGTTCAACACAGTGCAATAAATTGGGTTTTATTTTTCGTATATATAATATTCCATGTAATTTGTCACTTCAGCATAGATTTCAAACAAAAATGATATCAGTTTTTTAATACTTTATCGTAAAAGAAACGATAAATAGAAAGTTGCGTTCTGTGCAGCTGCTGTGGCAATTCTTTCAAAAGCTAAAAATCGAGACACGACACGCGTCACCCGCACCGATGCCGATACCAATTTCGATTCCACGAGCTGAGTTGAGTGCGCCAAAAAAAAAAACGAAGCAATAACAACCAAAAACAACCGTTAACAACGTACGCACGTCACCCAGTCCCAAATTGCACTGAGACCCGGTGCCGAGCATTTGTGTTTGGTTTGAGGGCGCACAGCGCGCAAAAGCTCACTCTCACTGCCCACTTGAGTGTGAATAGTGTATGTGTGTTTGCGTTGCGTGCGTGCCAGCGTTGGCTGAGCGTAGCAACGTTACAAATTGACATAAAAGCTTTGTCAGTAAGAGAGCGCGTAAGAGTGAGAGTAAGCGAATGGGTGTAAGGTTGATCGTCATTAAAGAATTGATGCACTTTGATAACGGTGCATTCTGAAAGAGATTGTGGAGTGGACTTTAATATGTCTGACAATGTATATGGATAAGAGTTTGTGTGTGTACTTATGTGTGAAAGTGAAATTGTATGAAGAGAAAAATGCAAGTGCCTGATAACAGTGAATTTCAGTTCATGCCTGTACTTACTTAATTGAAATATTTACAAAGAATTAAATGTATTGTATTCAAAAATACAACTCATACAGTATGTATGTATTTGTATTTATATAAATTTAAAAAATTGGAGTCTAAAAAAATAGTATGACATAAAAACTTAAATATTTTGTTTAGATTAATATAATATTAATATAACCAAAATTTATATATTTACTTTTCATATTCGAAACGAAAGTTTTTTTATAAACTTTGTATAAAATGTATAATATATGTTTGTGCGCTGCTCCCCTATGGAAACTATATCATATATCATTATTAATTTCTTCTTGGATATACAGTTATTGCAGCTATTTCAATAAGAGATATGGTCGAGCTAACGATGTTAATTTCGCACTTATAACCTGTGGTCGCTTTGAATATTACCCATTTGGCTGGTAGTGTTCCAATTCCACCTGGCAGAGCCATTCTACAGCGAAACGAGTGTAAAACACAACTGGCCGCAATGCTAGACACTTGACAGTTGTAACCCACTCGCAATCGGATTCGTATTTACATTTCCATTTGACCAACAGACGAATGGGTAATTAGATTAAGCATACGACCCGTTGGCCGCGCAGCTTCGAGCCAAGCCATAGGCAGTTGGTAACGGAACGCGCAGCTGTCAACTGAACTCACTCAAAGTTTTTTATTTGGTTCTGTGTTTTTTTTAATAGATTTCCTCAGTTGCATAAGCAACAAACGAAGTCATGAGCAAGAGCAACAGCAAACTCACTTTTAAGCGTCACTCCAAGAGCAATCCCGTCGACTATGAGCGTTTGCAGCTGTCAGCTGCAGATCCGAGTACAACAGCAGCAGCAGCAGCAACGGCAGCAGCAGCACCAACTTTTGCTCAAATGGACAAAATGCAGCTGAAGTTGAGTGCCAGCAAAATAAAGCTGCAAGGAGCAGGCGCACAGGTGAAACAGTTCGAGCAGGTGCAACAGGTGCAGCAGGTGGAGCAGCAGCTAATGCTGCTGGAGCTGGATGCACTGCGTCGCAAGTCAGCCCCACAGCTGCTCAGCTTCAGCATAGCACCTGTTCAGTTACCTGGCCAGTCTGCTAGCCAGGCAGTGCCACGTCTGCCTGCCTACGAATCGAGCAAGTGCATCCGACGTTCGCGCACTGAGCTGCTGGTCACGGATAGCAACAGTGATCCGAGCAGCAGCAGCTTAACGAGTTCCACTTCACCTGAATCCTTGTTGGACAACATTTTGAGTGAGGCTTCGGCGGTATCTGTGCCAAGCACCAGCAGCGCAAGTGACATAACTGTGGCACCACCACCTCCACCACCGCCTCCTCCTCCACCTTTACCTCCGCCTCCTTCTGTTCTACATGCTTCGTCAGTTCATCAGCTAAGAACTCCCATGGTTCCGCCCCAGCCCAAGCGCCTACTTAGCCTTAAGTCTTCGCCAGAGCTACGCGTCTCACCACCCACACCTGATCTGGAGGTGAACAGCTTGCTGCCTCCAATAGCTGCTGTCGGTGATTACTATGACACCGCCTCGCAAGTCTCTCGCAGCTATACACCCTCTCCCGCTGGTACGCCTCAAATATCGCCCTCGTCCAGCGTAAATCTGCCTGCTCCAGCAACCAACTACGTCAACATCATTTATCCAGAGGAACTGAAATGCGCCATCTGCATGGATGTCTACACGGATCCACGTACTCTGCACTGCCTGCACTCCTTTTGCCTGCAGTGCTTGGTGAATGCGAATCTTCGAGAGGAGGCACTGTGGGAGGAGCGCTGCAGCTTTAGCCTGCTTCCCTCCACGTCGGACACGGCTAGCGAACTGGCCACCATCTCACCAGCGAGGCAGCGCGGCAGCAAAAAGTCCTTGGATCGTTTGGCATTGAGGGTAACTGGGCTAACTCATAGAAACTCTCTGAAGTCTTAACTTATCGATTGCCTTTATTCCAGGGCAAGCGTTCGACTTCCGCCTGTTCCTCCAGCATGCGCTTGAACAACAGCTTCGCGAGCGATCCGGAAGCTGTACGTTGTCTACGTTGCCACAGCTGTCAGTTCATCACAGAGCTGCCTGCTCTGGGTGGAGTGCGACAACTGCCACAGAACTTTCTGCTGGTGCGACGCATTGAGGCACTGCGTCTGCAAGCGGGCGAGGATGTCATCTCGAAAGTCTGGTGCTCACTGTGCAGCGAGGAAATTAGTGTAAGATTGGGAGATTCGTTGACTCGCAGAGCGAGTAGGAGAGAGTAGGAGAGAGAGAGAGAGTGACAGAGAGAGAGAAGCTGCATACTGTAGTCCCATCAATATATTCCAAGTAACACTTTCACCTTTGTGCTACCCCTTCGCAGGCCACCTATCACTGCATCAGCTGCACTCTCAATCTCTGCTCGCTGTGCAAGGAAGCTCACGAGCGTCAGCGCAGCACCTCGAATCATCGCATGCGGAACATACTCGAGCTGCGACGGGCACGCAAGCAGAAGCAACAACAATTGGGCTTGGGGGACAGCAGCCAGGTGCTGCTCAAGTGTGGACTGCATGGCTTCGAGCTAAAGTCCTACTGCATACCCTGCCAGCAGGTGAGTCACTGCAGCCAAAACAGATCGACAGACGTTGCAAGATCCGTGTGAATCCTTTCAGCTCGCTTGTCCCGATTGCTTGGTGCTGCAGCATCGTAACCATCGCCACGAGACGGTGGCCAAGGCCATGACTCAACTGCAGGTGTCCAAGAAGCTAAGCGATGCCACGGAACAGACGCGTCCGCTTTGCCAATATGCAGAGCACTCGATCGAACGACTGCGCGAGATAACGCGCAGCATCAATGCTAGATGCGACGACATTCAGGCCCAGGTGGAGAGCTATATGAATCGCTACTTTGAAGCCCTGCAGGCCCATCGCAACACGCTGCTGCAGCAGGTCAATCGAGCCAGGGAGTCCAAGGTGGAGCTCATCATCAATCAGCAACTGGAATTGGGTAGGGAACGAACTGGCTCCAAAGCAACCCTAAATATAGAGAAGAGAAAGCCAGAGTAGCGACCTAGCAATTGGGTATCCTAATAGCTCTCTCAAGTAATATTCATAGAAAGGTCTCAACTTTCCTGCATAGTTAAATAGATGGACTTGGCCTTGAGAGGAAGCCACAGGAATTTATACGCATAGTTAGGAATTGGTAGAGAATTTGGTATTTGAGAGAGGCAATGATATTGAAAGAGATCGTTAGATCGTTAGATCTATCTGCACTTCCTCTCATCCTAATCTTCTAGAGAAACGCACGCAACAGGCGATGGATGCGATACGCTTTGGCCAGGAGCTTTCCGACATTGGAGCCGATGTTGAGATACTAAGTTTTGCACGCATTCTACTAAAACGTTTCGAGTACTGTCAACAGTTTAAGCCGCCCGTCGATCCCAAGGTGAGTAAGCTAAAGAGCAGATCTAGTAACTAAGATAATTCTATAAGTCGAGAATGGAAAGATGAGATATCCATGGAAACTATAATCCTCGCAAATGAAATTTTTCAACAAACAACTCCTTGTATTGTGGCAACTGTACCTATTATTACTATGCTTCACACATAACCTTAAAGTGCATTCAGCATATTTTCAGTACAGTCCCGCGAAAATGCAAATTCTCGAGTTATTTTCATCAACAATATCAGTATTTAATAGCAACTCCTTTGCAGATTTCCGATTCGCTGCATTTTCTATCAAAAATCCGCGCGCCTGGCACTAAGGAACAGCATGATATACCTCTGTACGGCATAATTACGATGCAAACGGTCGAACCTTCGCTGTGCGCCCTTCAATGGGAGGGTTTTTCGCAGCTGCGCCTGCATAGGAAGGTGGACCTGCAACTGCTCACACGCGATGCAGATGGAGTGGCGCTGTGCCATGGCGGATTGGAGATCAATTGCATGATTAAGTACAAGGATGCGAATGTGAAGTATTTGCCCATCGAGGTGTCCGATCATCGCGATGGCACCTACAGCATCTCCTTCACGCCCGACACACAGGGCACCTTAATCCTGATGATCTCTATCAATGATCGGCCCATAAAGGGTAGTCCCTATACCTTTCACTCGCGTCAAGTGCGTCCTCATAATGGAATCTATCACTGTTGTGCTTTCTGCTCCGGCAAAGGCAACAAGAGTGTTAAATGCTCCTGCGAAGGACGCATGCCCGGCTACAGCGGCTGCGGACATGGCCACGCAGGTCATCCTGGACGCCGGCATTGGTCGTGCTGTGGCAATGTCCTGGAGAACTCCGAATGCAGCGTAGCCAACAAGCTGCTGAATCCCTAGAATACCGTGTCCGCAGTTTTGCAAGTCCAGACGGCAACCATCCCCCTTTTAAACAATTTAGTTACGTTTATTTGATGGAATTTAATGATAAAAATACATAATTTTAAGTATATTATGCTGAGGATAAAATATATACTTGAACAATAAAATCGTGATGACACTTAGTCTTCGTTGTCCGAATACCAAGAGAGGCGCTCTTCATAGAAGCGTATTACCATTTGAGGTATCTTAACGTTAGCCACTGTTGATGGCACCATTTCCGCTTGATCGACACCCTTAAATTGTATAAGGAATGTTAGCCGGCCATTATTATCGGAGGCGCCCAATATTTTTTCTGCCTCCAGGCCACGATCGAAGCCAGTGCCACCGGCGGGTATTAGATCGCCGCTATCATCCGAATCGACGCGTTTCGTTTTGTTAGTTGCTGGTGCAGCTAAAATATATTCATTATTATAACCCATAATATATAAGTAAATATAAGCGGTTCATATATAAAAATATATATATTTATATTATATATATGTATTAATACATATACATATACATGTATTTATCATTGCCTACCTGGTTCTTCAGACTTTCGTTTGCCGCCGCCAGCGCCACCGCCTCCGCCACTGCTGTTACTGGTTGTTGTACTGGTGCGTCCCGTTTCCTTGACCTTGGCACTGCTGCCTGGCCGATCTTTTTTTGTGTTACTTGAAGATGTAGAGGCCGCTGCATTGGCCTACAAATTATGTATCATATAAGTGACTTGAAAAAAAACACACTGCATTACACACAACTTACCTCGTCTTTGCGACTCAGCTCATATTGTTGTATGAGATCCTGACAATCAAGGTTCCCTTCCGGTTCCCAAGTATTTTCAGTCTCTGCATAGCCCTTCCACTTAAGATAGTATTCCACCTATAAACGTGTATAGCAATGAGCAACATTTTTCCGCATTTCCTCGACCATGCATCGTTATACAAACCTTTCCTTTGCGCACACGACGATCTAAAATTTTCTCCACTGCATATTCCTCCTCCTCCTCTTCAGCGCCGGAGGATACATTGTTGGTCTCAGGATTATTATCGGTCTTCTTGCCCATTTTGTATGTATATGTTTTTGTGTAATTTACTTTTAAGCTGTTCCATGGAAAATATAGAAGCGCGCATGTAGTTTTATTTGTATGTATATATGTACGAGCAAAAAAAAAATCCACAAATTATGTGTGGTATTGAAATAAAACATAACCGCACGCTTACCAGGAAACTATTAATTTTAATTTACGGTTTATCAAACAGATATACACTTTTTTCTTAATATTTTGACAACGGCAAACGAACAAACGCAAAACAAGTAGAAAAAGTGCCGTTTACAAATGATGCCGCCGCTTGGAAATAGAATGCGGCAGAATCGGCGTCTATCGCATTACGTTCACATGTGAATGAATAAATTGTACTGTGAATGCCAACTCAGTTGACGCAAATTATTTGCGCCAAATTTTTCACCAAAAAGGAATTGAGTTCTCAGATTGAAATAAAAATGCCAAAAATCAGGAAGACAAAAAAAAGCTCCTCATCCGACAGCGACAGCGGGCCCGATGATGTAAGTTTTACTTGAATATATGACATATATTTATTTTAATTGTGAATGAAAACACAAATTTACAGCGTAATCCACCGCCAAGCAAAAAGTCAAAGGAGAGCGCTGCTGAAAAATCAAATAAGAATGATAGTGGAGATGGTAATGGAGCCACCACATGGACTCTAGAGGGCATGCGTCAGGTGCGCATCAATGAGTTTCGTGGCCGGAAAATGGTTGATATACGCGAGCACTATGAGAAGGATGGGAAAGTCATGCCGGGCAAGAAGGGTATTTCACTGTCGGCTTCGCAGTGGAAAAAATTACTAGCAGTAGCGGACGATGTTAGTCGCGCTCTTGAGGAATGAAAGCAAGACAACAAGAAAAAGTAATACTTAGTAGTTTTGTACATTTAAACAAAAAACACTTATATACACACAAATAAACGTGAATCTTAAATATAGTTGATGTATTGAATTAGTTGTAGGTCCTAAAAGTACACAGCCATTAAAACTACAATACTTATAAATATAAGAAACGGTAACCAACTCTTCACGAAACCACAGACGTTCACATATTTTCCACAAACAAACATCCAAAAGCATAAAATAATCATATTCCAGCTGGTGCGATTTTCGTAGTGCATATTGCACAGCGCAGTGGCGACATGCGAATGACAATTATCGCAAAAGATGTTGTGCATGCGGGTACCGTACAGCACTGATGCTTTGGATACGCCCTCATCCCAAGCAGAGGAACCGCCATCGACATTTTTCGGATTTAATCGCAAATAGCGTGTGGGACGGCCGAAAGCCATATTATCCTCGGTGACCAGATATGGTCCAGCAAAATCCCGAATAACTCCATTGCTCATACAAATGCCCATGTGACCGATGAATGGGAATATCCAGGTAAGCACTGGTATCGGTGTCCAAACAATACAATATGGATAACGGTCCAAAGCCCGATCGATGGGTGGCAAACGTTGTGGTAAACTTTCATCGGAACTAACCATAGTTCGTTCGATGTCCTTTTGTGGCTGCTTATTGCTGGACGACGATTATTAAAAAATGTCAGAGATAAAACTAATCAATTAGTACTACTCACTAAATGATTGCCTCGATATCAATAAGGAAAATTTTCCAACGGTGATAAAGAGCTGATAACGTCGGAAAACTAACACACACATAAAACACCTCAATTTTTGTTTACAAGCTGAATTATTATCGAAAACTTATCGATATTGATTTAAATGTCTCTGAAACAGCTGACTGATACTACAGGTTCAACTGCCTATAAGGTATGCAAACTACTCATCAAAATTGAGGTCAGATGTCGAAAGGTCGTAAAAATAGGCAACTGATAGATACTTGATAAGTGTTTAAAAGTAAAAATTACTTAGAAAGGAATTTGAGCTGAAACAAGTGCTTGAGCAAAAAGACATCATAAAGGTTTCACATAGTACCAAAAGTGGAACGCAAAATATTTAACGCTGCAATTAGAACATTTGGAAAAAAATAGAACAATGACGCAGGTGTTCATAAACGGAGCCACAGATGCATGCAACGTCCGCGATCATGACAGTCTAGGTGCCAAATAGACTTTGTTAATTACTAAATATATAGCTAAAATTGTTATACATTTGCTTTACAGATGCCTCCATACAGGAGCTGATTCGTGCAGCATCAGAGGCGCGCAATCATGCATATTGTCCATATAGTAATTTTGCAGTTGGAGCCGCGATACGAACGAGCGATGGCTCTATTTACACTGGTTGTAACATCGAAAATGGTGCCTATGCAGCTAGCATATGCGCGGAACGAACAGCAGCCGTAAAAGCCTTAAGGTAAAGATGATGTTGATATAATCAGCTAAACATTTTGCAATAAGAAAAAATGCATTTCAGTGAGGGCAAACGTCAATTTGTGGCCTGCGCCGTTGTAGCACAGCAGGACAATGGCTTTACAACACCCTGCGGTGTATGTCGACAGTTTTTAGCCGAGTTTGCTAGTAATGGCCGGGATATAGCGCTGTACGCAGCTAAGCCAACGAACTTACCACTCCGTGTACTCTGCACCAGTGTACTGCAGCTGCTGCCGAACGGCTTTAGCTTCCCCAGTGGCAAATGAGGCGCATACCTTCAACAATTTTCTACTATGTGCAATATTTTATTTAGTCCTAGATGTTTATGATATGTGCAATACTTTGTATGTGAACTGTGAAGCAACCCCATTTTGTTGTCATACGTACAATTATACTAACATTCGCATACAAAGAGACATAGACATACGCACCCGCTTTGTATTTTTCTCTATATGTGCATGTATTCGTTTTGGCCTATGCGCCCTCTCCGAACAGTCGCGGCAGCCGTTATCAACGGCTGGCAGCTGTTAACGGCTCGCTCTCCGAGCTAGTTGCTTAATGCTTATATTTCTTGTCAAGTCCACAACAAGCGGACGACAAATACCGTCCATTTGCCGTTGGACGTTCGGAGGTGACACACAGACCCGCACGCACAGAATATTTTTTTGTTTCCCAAACAACTGAAAAAATTTATAAATAACAACGAACGCCCCCGCCAACAGCAACAAATCATATTTGTATCAATTATGTCGCATCTATTGAATGGCTTGGCGCAGCCAGAGTTGCAAGAGACCGTCCTACCCTACGGCAATTTGGGTGAGTGGAGTTTTATTAGTAGCTGTTGACGTATTGATAGATTGTGATGTATTGATAGTCTATGACGTATCACCTTGTTTACGCAGATGCAACGGCTAAGGAGCTGTTGCGAGCCGCCTATCAGGTGCGCCAGCGCGCCTATGCGCCATATAGTAATTTTAAAGTGGGCGCTGCTTTTCGTGCCAAAGAAAATAGCCGGGAAATCTTTACTGGTTGCAATGTGGAAAATGCCGCATTTACGCCAACATCGTGCGCCGAACGTACGGCCATTACCAAGGCCGTCAGCGAAGGTTATCGCCAGTTCTCATCTGGTGCTGTGGTCGCCTATAAGCCAGATGTGTTTATCTCGCCCTGTGGCGTGTGCCGTCAATTTATCAGAGAATTTGCGGGCAGCACTGACATACCCATTTATATAGCCCAGGCCAATGACGCGCAGTCGCAGCAGGAGCAACAGGAGGAGCCTTTCAACAGTGACGATCCAATCCTTTGTACATCCATTTTCAATCTACTGCCACACAGTTTCCACACCTATTGAGAGACCTGGAGAAAGTGCAAGACTAGTCCCAATTATATTGTCTAATTTTGTTTAATGCATGCAATAAAAATTCAAATTTTATTTCAAACAAAAATTTTGTTTTCTAAATTGAGCTGTTCAACTTTTCAGCGCAGATACATTAATTTTTAAATTGCAGGTATATTTGTTATTTTATTTTTTATTTTTATATAATTGTAATTTTTTTTATTTTTGTTTCAATTTATGATTTCTTTTTATTATTTTCATTAATTTTATATGTATTTTTAAAATTAAATAGTGAATTTTTTAAATATATAAATTACATTGATAATCTTAATATTTTTTAAGTTTATTATATTTATTTATATTTTTAAAAAAATATTTGCTGATAAATTCAGAATAGACTTTTTATCATTTTTATTTTCTATCCTATTTTATTTATGTTTAATATTGATTGTAAATGTTTTTATTCTGCTAGAAATTGAATTATTTAAATTTACATCATGAATTTTTATTTTTAAATTCAATTTCCGCTTAAATGGAATTCAACCTTAAGTCCAAATCGTCTAATGGAGGGGAATCCCTTTTCTTTAAAAATACTATATGAAACATATTTATCTGTACAGCTAGATAAAGACAAAGCTTATGTTTCAAATAAAAGTTGCAGCACAATTCAATATACACTTACGATAATCGTCTGATTAATAACGAATGGGAAGGCCTTATCAGTTTAAATGCTTGAATGCACAGTTTTCTGAGAATGTAATCGGCCTGACCGACAATAAAGCCAAATATAAAAGCAATATTGCATTCTGATGATGAGGTTATACGGTAGACTCAACTTTTGCTTCATGAACGAATATAAAGTAAATAGGAATATCGAAAAGTATCCCAAATTCTAGTCTCTTTTAACCAAGGCAAGCCTTTATAACATGACAGTCAACTGTTGTCATTTTGATCATTTCGAATTAGAATATTTTAGTATCTGTTTTTGGCCTTACGATAGGACGACTGTATAAATTTTTAAAAATCTTTAGTTATATATAGTTATAGAAAAATAAAAGCAAAAGAAATATAAAAATGCAACAGAAGCGTAAAGATCTGAAAAGGTGCATGAAACGTCTCGACGCACTGCAGAAGGAACTGGTCAAGCACAGGACATGCAAGAGGTTAAAAATGTGCATTAATCAGCTGAGGGAGCTGCAGCGCGAAGTGGAACGGCGGCAGCCGTGTCGCACGGGATATCCAGTGAGCGAATCGCTTAAGCTAAGTCATCCAATCAAGCTGTGCGAATATACCATATCCTTTAGTCAACTGGGTGAGCAAGCGCAACCAAATAGTTCGGTCATATGTGGTGTTCCCGAGGAAGGCAGTTTTGGCTGGCATTTTCCACCCTTATTGCAAGCCTACTTTCCAGAAGAAGTCAAACGTGCATCTAGCCACTGCTAACTTTCATTCTGCTCCCTTAACCTTAATTACCTTCTTTCGTTCCATCCTTCGCTGCCTTTCTTTCAGTCTTTATTTTAGGCACTTGCTATACCTACTCCTTAATAACCTAGGCTCTAGCTTAGCCTCTTCTCTGGTATACTACCCATTCCTTAATTACGTCCACGCTGTTCACAGATAATTGCGGTCGTGAGCTGTTGGAGGATGCACTCAACGCACGCTGCTTCGCCTATGCTCCATATAGCAATTTCAAGGTGGGGGCTGCCTTTCGCTCCAAGGAAGGCAGAGTCTTTACTGGATGCAATGTGGAGAACGTGGCTTTGACTCCAGGTTGTTGTGCGGAACGTACAGCTATGTTAAAGGGAATCAGTGAAGGTTGTCGGGTATTCAATGCCGGAGCCGTGGTGGCCTATCACCCTAGCGGCTACACAACCCCTTGCGGTGTCTGTCGGCAGTTTATTATAGAGTTTGCCAAATTGGACATACCCATTTACATAGCACAGGCGCCAGAGTCAAGTGCCCCAATACCACTGTTCGAGGACGATGCCGAGGTCCTAGTCACGTCCATCTACCACTTATTACCTCATTCATTTTCAGTGTATTAAGTTTGTAAATACTGCTTGTAAATTAAAATAAATATTTTGGCAGTCAATTCAAAATGCAAATACAATTTAAACATATTTTTGAACAGGATCGCCAGAGCCATAGACGTTATACTCGCTCAGCTGAGCAAATGGAGGAACTGACTCAGAGATGAGGATGGGACGCACGTCCGTTGTATTATAGTCGATATATTCCTTGTTTAGCTTGGGATCCACATAGTTCGCACGAACCTCAGTAATCAGGCCGGTGTGTGGAACCCGTTTCACCTGATTCCGATACTCCAAGCGACGTCTTGGACAGTCGTGTGCATTCGACTCATCGCAAATATGCTCATCGGCAACACGAGTGGTATGCGTGGGTGTCTCATCTCTACGCTGCGCCCAATTCCAAATGGTAATATTATCATGGGCGGCAACACTGGATTTGAGCTCTTGTGGCGAGTACTGGACATAGGAAAGATTATATGTAGTCGCCGATGGATCCAAATACTTCGTATAGCCACTCTTTGAACGATCTATAAGTACTTTGGTGGGCTCCACCGGAGTGGGCATATGTATTGGCAACGGGTCTGCCTCGAAAGGAAGCTCAACGAAGGTAAACGCCTCGTGGGAGACGCTCATCAATGGCTTTATCTTGCGCTTAATAAAACGTAAATTGCCCTCCTCGAAACGCTTCATATATTGCGTTTTCATATTGAGCGATGGATTGCGCAGAACGTACGGATCGGGATACTGTAAGGAGAACAGAAGTGAACACCATGACAACCATTTGCAGTTAAGCTGTAGCAACTCACCTTCCATACATACTTGCTTTCTACTTCTGTCAACTGTTTATCATGCAACAAAGGATCTCTAACAAAAATGCCCTTGTTGGAGCATTCGGTGGGGGCGTTTAGCTTGGTGCCCAGGCGCGTGTCTGTAATATGGCGATGTCCACGATACGTGGAAGTGCGCCAATCTGAGGACTTATCGCTGGCCGGAAGCTTCGGATCAAAGCAGCCAAACTCATCCATGACTTCAACAGCAATTTTCAACAAAATCTTCTGAATAAATATTTAACAATGATAACAATTTTCAATAAGTGTTTTGCTAGGTTGTTAGGCAGAAAATTTCGACGGGAGACTTCAAGTACAGATTACCCTGGCAACGTTTACCAAACACTATATATACTAATATATAAGTGTGCTATCTAAATTTGTTGACATAATTTAAAAGGCTTATTGTATATATAATTATATATGTATATATATATATATATTCAGTATTCAATGTTTATACAATAGTAAATGTTCATAAAGGAATGCTCGTTTTACAATATCTATATATACATATATATAAAAGCGATCTGTTTCACAAACCAAAATTCATATTCGCTTATATATACATATACATAAATATACGAAAGCTAGATCTTATATATATGCGATATATGTATATGTATATGCATGTGCACACACATATATATATATATATATATATATATTTGTAGTTAATAAGAGATAATAAAACTGTTTGCTTAGCAAAAACCAATTGATTTACTCCTTGGAGGGGGCCTTGGCTAATAATTTGTGGTGTGTGTAAACAATGTGTGCAAATGATGAAAGAAAGCTTCAGCTTTTCAGGCGATTTCCTTAAGGGCCAGCAGCGACTGACGCAGATAATCATATTGGCTTTTAGCATGCTTGATCTCCAGATCGGATAGCTCCACGAGACTGCGAGAAAGTTAGTTTAGGATTAATGAATCTATAATGATAATGATAATCTGATAATGTATCTTGAAATAGTTTGAATACCTCTTTTTAAAAGCAGCCACGCGTCTATTGCGAAAACCAATCAGCTCTTCCTTGCCGCAGGCGGACATGGACTCAAACTTCTCACAAGCCTCAGCTTGAGCAGTTTCAGCCTGCGTTAAACGAAGCAATAAGTAGCTCGAATTACAAATAATAATTAAATATATATAAACACATGCATTAATTGTACATAGAAATTGCTAAAAAGCATGCAGCAACTGCAACTAAATGTGTATGTGTAATTTAGAATTTGCAAGACATTAGACTAGAATGACCAATTGATGTGTTAAACGTTAAATGTCAAATACCTCTTGCACCTCCAACGGCTGCAGCGGAAGAGACAACAAGAACAACACGAAAAGAGTGAGCCACAAAGTAGAAGAAGAAATGCGAGAAAGAGTTCAATGTGAAGTTTGTGAGTACGTTGAAATTTTACATTAAATATGCCGTTGTAGAGTTGACCACAATTGTTAAAAACTTGGTCTGTTAACAGTTAAAGAAATAAATAGACAACACGAAAAATAATGCTCGACGTAGCAGAGCTTCTATAGCCAGACAGACAAGAATTACCTAGTTTGGAATGTCGGCAGCTACTGACTACTTTATATATATATATTTATATAGCTGAAAGACTTGGTTACTAAATATATGATTTAGTTAAGTGTAGTTCGCTTGATAGTTTTGAACTATATTTTAATCTACAACAAAATTTATATATATAATTTGTTGATTCTGTCAGAGCCTTAATATTCTGCTAATAAATGGCAACAGGTTTTTAGTAGTTCGGTATAAAAGAACGAAACACATCTAATGATGTTTACAACAGATCAAATTTTTGTTAATAGGAGAGTTTAACGCAAGCTTCCAGTATTTAAATTCGATATCAAAGTTAATTATAAATTATCATTGTCTGTTGAGCTGTTAAACTAAAAGAATTTGCTGCCAAGCACCGGTGAGCATATAGAGAAAAAGATTTTATAAATACAAAAAAAAAGCAACACTGCTCTATAACAAATCTTTACCGCATGAACATCCTTGTTCTTAGAACGCGCCTTCTCCAAGTTACGATTGGCTGTCTCATAGGCGGCCAAACAACGTAGGCGACGTATCAATAAAGCCTTTGCTGCATTGCTGTCGCGCTGATAATAGCGCAAAGTGTCGCCGAGCTTTAAATCCTGATCGCTTGCCACGCGCGTCTCCAGATTCTGATCAAATAATAAGCAACATATTAGCTACGTATTTTATTAACATACAAGTAGGTTTACCTTTATGCGTTCAAACACCTCCGCAGACTTGGCCACAAAAGTTTCCATATTCCCTTTTTCTGTTGTAGAGAGCTCTGTGAGTGCATTCGATATCTTCTGATGCGAATAGCCCACATCTTTGTGGCGCTGCGTCATCTTCTCAGTGCGCGAAGCTGCCTCACGTAAATGGCCATGGTATTCGGTAAGGAACTGCAGCTCGTTCTCAAAGAAATCATTCACATCACGAACAGTTGCGCTCAGCAATATCTCATCTGTGGTCTTGCCTAAAGATTTAACGAAGCCACCAAAGATGGCCATCTTCTTGCGTGGCTTGGCGCACAGATCTTGATCGTATTCCAAAAATACCTTTAGATGCTGATCGATACGAAAAACGGGATGACTGGCCAAACGACGTAAAAATACTTCATGCATGGCAACCGTTTTCTTGAATGTGGCCAGATACTCTCTAAGACAACAATGAACAATTAGTAAATAGATTTACAATACTCTCGAAACACTATGCTTACGCCTCCAATTCGGATTTCATTTTTTTGAACTCTTCTTTGGTCATATTGCCCTCGCCTTCGCCCAGACGCTGTAGCTTCTCGCGCGATGCATCGAAATCGGGTCGTGGCGGACACGGCGGAATCTATATAAAAATGTCATTTAAACCCTTGAATTTACATTGATTGTCAAAACTACTCACTATGTAGCCCGCATAGTCTTCATTCTCCTCGATGCGATCGTGCAGCCAAACGAACTCTTCATGCTGGCGCACGACATTATTATCCTTCTTAGCGAAGCCAGGCAGTGTGGTGCGTGTGTGCACGGTAAATTTTACCTTTTCCTTTTCACTGAGTGCATCAGAGATTTCAACATGCAGCGCATTTTCACCTAATGCAGCAGGTGTTACAGGTGCCGACGATGAGCTGTCAGGCGAAGTCGCACTTCCGCTTCCATTTGTTGCTGTTGCTGGAGCCAATGGATTTGGTGACGAAATTTCCATTGTACCACCATTATTGGTAGCGGGACTATTCAATATGTTTGATTCATCCGTGCCGTCCTATATGCGAATGTATTGCAACAAAAAAAACTTATACACACTTCCAATTATACGCCCATTAAACTGATAAGCAGTTCTTTGTGTGTGTCTTTCCGTTGCAATTATGCGACTTACACTCAAACTTTATTACATATCCTCCATAAACTATAAAGCCATTATATTTTTCTTTTGAACTTACCATCATTTTGTACAAATTAATTTTTTTAATAACAATAATTTCAATTTAATAACTGGCCTACGTTTGTGTACGTCGAACAGGTCGGCGCTGCCAGATCAATGAAATTTTGCACTGCAGTATGAATTTAGAAGGTAGCGCAGCTGAGCGTACTCAATTGAGCTATTCAATTTCGCGCTTGTGACGTCATGTTCTAGCGTTTTTTAAATTGAACAATTATTTGCGCTACCTTTTATATGTATAATATTTCTGCAGCGGGTGGCAATTCCCCGCTGTAGATAAAGAAAAATTGTTTATACCACGCACCAACACGTCTGTTAAAAAAACGAACAGAATCACAATTTAACTCAGATAGTTAACATGTCCGCAAGCGATGGAGCTACGGGAAGCAAACAAGTGCGGTTGTCCAACAATCATAATAGCAAGGATTTGAATGGAACAACAGGCACCGCCGGCGCTGGTGACGCAGCCAATGCTCGTGGCAAAATAGCGCTGATAACCGGCATAACGGGACAGGTGTGTGTGTGAATGAATGTGTATATTGGTTACATATACGGGCATTAATACATGAGTAATAGATTGACTTATGTTTCTACAAGTGTCAGTGTGTGCAAAACATTTTCTTAATCATTTGATAAATACTCTTACATCAAGTAATCTAGTGATATCAATAGATTAGTAATAGAATTTTTGGTGAGATACGCTAATCTTATGTTTTTGTTAGGAATGAAAATAGTACAGCTCAAAAATAAATATTTCAGAAAATCTCAAACTTATTCTTAATATGCATCACAAAAAAAACGACACAAAACTCATAAAAAAGCATCCTGTGGCAACTCTGCTCATGTTTGTAGAGATGTAGGCCAACGACTTTTTAATTAAGACAAATATAAAACTTTAGCCATTAATTTAAACAAATATAACCCACTAGCCAGTAACTGTACATATAATCATTATAAATATGCCTGCAAGCAAGGGTATACAATATTCGACTTTGCTTCAGAATTAATCTTGTTTATTCTTTGCTTACGTGTTACAACCTTTGTGGAACTTACAGGATGGCTCCTATCTGGCCGAGTTTTTGTTGAAGAAGAACTATGAAGTACATGGCATTATACGACGTGCTAGCACGTTTAATACAACACGCATAGAGCATTTATATGCTGATCCAAAGGCACACAAAGGAGGACGCATGAAATTGCATTATGGCGACATGACAGATAGCAGCAGTCTGGTGAAGATCATTAATATGGTGAAGCCAACGGAGATTTATAATCTGGCTGCACAATCACATGTGAAAGTCTCTTTCGATTTGAGTGAATATACGGCAGAGGTAGATGCAGTTGGCACATTGCGCATACTGGATGCCATTCGGACATGCGGCATGGAGAAATCTGTGCGATTTTACCAAGCGTCCACTTCGGAGCTGTATGGCAAGGTTGTGGAGACGCCACAGAACGAACAGACGCCCTTCTATCCACGTTCCCCCTATGGTAGACAGTCAATATAGCATTCACATAGTACAATTTGTTAATCATCATTAATTTTCAGCCTGTGCCAAGATGTACGGCTTTTGGATAGTGATCAATTACAGGGAGGCCTATGATATGTATGCTTGTAATGGCATACTGTTCAATCACGAGAGTCCGAGACGTGGCGAAAACTTTGTGACACGTAAGATTACCCGGTCGGTGGCCAAGATTTTGCTCAATCAAATGGAATACTTTGAGCTGGGAAACTTGGATTCGAAACGTGATTGGGGACATGCCAGTGACTATGTGGAAGCTATGTGGATGATGCTGCAGCGTGATGTGCCAGCAGATTATGTAATTGCAACTGGTGAAACGCACAGCGTGCGTGAATTTGTGGAGGCGGCATTTAAACACATCGGACGCGAAATTACGTGGCGTGGAAAGGGTGTCGAGGAGGTAGGCATAGAACGTAACACAGAAATTGTGCGCGTACGCATCAATCCAAAGTATTTCCGACCCACCGAAGTGGATCTGCTGCAAGGTGATGCGTCAAAGGCTAAGCGAGAACTCAACTGGACGCCAAAAGTTAGTTTCCTGGAGCTGGTCACCGATATGATGAACGCGGACATCGAGCTAATGAAAAAGAATCCCATTGCATAGAAGAAATGGATTGCAACTAGGCAAATCTGGCACAAAGTTTCATACATAAATAGATATAGATATATAGTTTAAGATGTAAAGTGTTTTATGTTTCCTCGACGGGATTTGCAATCATTCCTCTTTTACTACTATATCGTGAATGTCTCTCTATCTCGCTGTCTCCAGGCAGTTTCCTTAAATGTTCTTAACTATTAACCATTATACACTTGCAATAAATATGCGTAAACACAAATTAATTAGATATTATTTTTGACGAACTGGATAAATCCAGGAGTTTTTAATATATTAAATTTCAACATAGAACCAATAAAGCTGACTGAATGTGAGTCATTTACGTTTCTTTCTTGCCAAAAGGATTTATTTTCGACAACCAGCTTGATGATGCCGAAGATTCACTGCAATAGACATTTGTTTTAACTATGTATTGGATTATTGCCGAAATGGAAACTTACAGCTTTGTCAATGCATCAATATCAGCATCCTTGTGGTCGCTATGAGAAATAGAATCTCTTGGGTCCTTTTTACCCGCTTCCGAGATGCCCGCCTCTCTCAATCGTTCAATTAACTTGCTACGAAACTCGACTTTATGCGGAAGCACCTTCTCGGCTGCACGAAGCTGGTTTTGTAGCTTGCGTATAGCTTCGAGGTAGGTGTGGCCATACCAATCGATTTCCTCAGACGTATATGATGCCAAATACGGAGTGTATTCCTTAAGCACTTCATTTTGATGATTGGGCTCGGCGGACAGGGCAGGACATCCCAATTGTAGCGACTTCAAAATTTTGCGTTTCATCTTCAATGCCAAGGCCGAACGCAAATCACATGCCAAATTCTTGAGCAGATAGTGATCAAAACCGTGACACTCATGAATCTGCTCCAATGTTCGCTCCGTAACAACAACCGATACATACTCATTAAGCACCTGACTGTGCACTACGGAGCGACGCAATGTTGGCACCCAAAAATGTGGCACACGTCGCTTTGTAGGTTGTCGCTTTTGGAAACCTTTAATCACCGCCTCACCGCCCCATATACCCTGATGGGATTCCGGTGTATCGATGAGAGGGAAGGGCACGCTTTGAACGGGCTTGATTGCATTCGTAACTTCATCCCGCTCCCACTCACTCTCCTTGGGTATATAATGCACCGCCGCTGGTTTTGTTAACTTCCATTCACGCCAGAATTTCTTGTACGCATCCGGCAGCTGGGCTCCGAGACCCTTCTCGAAGCGGTTTGGTCGTTTAAATCCATTAAGAAGCTTAACGCCCTGACAAAAATATCAGTTATCAATATCAATTTATCAACATATTAAACGGAATGCGTTGCGATTGCGTCACAGAAACGCGGAAGCTTTTCAACGGCAACAAATACCAACCTGCGGTGTTGCGTGGGCCATTGTCTACGGTGCAATAAGTGTTTTGACAGATTATTTTTATTACAAAAAAAAAATTTTGTTTGTTATTCAAAAGTTATATATATTTCTTTTTATATTGCGTTTTTGTCTCTGCCAAGCTTATCGTGCGTTTTCGTCTCCCTCTCATTTGACATATAAACAGCTGATGCGTGCTAACGTTGAACTGTGAATGGCACAAAATTGCAATAATATTTTTAAACAAGCTGGCAACCCAATAGCTCCATTGAATTCATAAAATTTATAGAAGTAAACACAAAGACATGTCCAAGCCAGATTCAGGTAGTAAATAAATCCAGACAAGCAATGTAAAATTTGTTAAATCATTTTGTTTTTCAAAAGTGGGTGAAGCAACAAAGTCCGGCAATGCGCCACCGTACAGTTTTAACTATGACTACGCCGCCTCTATGGTACGTATAAGTTAGCGCGTATTACAATTGGGTTTTAATATTTCCATTCTCAGCGAGCTCCGCCGCCCACATATGAGCAGAGTCAACAACAAACGATTGACTATTCACCAGCTGCAGGTGCTATGCCTATGCACGTGCCAAGCAATCAGTATTACGGGATGACGCACCATCAACAATTGCCTGTGATGCATCAGGGTCATCAAGGCTATGGCTTAGCTGGGCCGAGTACGTCTGCAGGAGCAGCTGCAGCGCATGTTTTAAATGTTGATTCACGAGCTACGTTGCGTACCACAGCTTCGGGCGCTGTTGTTGTGCCGCCACCTCCACCTGGCTGTCTACCCACACCTGCTCAATTGGCTGCCATGCAGGGAAAGCCGGTTGTGGTGCAGCAAAAGAAACGTTCCTTTTTTTAATACCACAAAGATCGGTTGCAATAACTCGAATGCCTCCTGCTACTTATTATATATATGCTTTTAATGTTTTACTTAATAAATGATAATTCGTCTTGTTCTCGCATATATTTGAAAATTCTCTATGCACATATACATGGCGCGCATCGATGATGATGACGAAAGATTGTGGAACTACTAACAACTACTGACCTGACCGGAATTACTCGAAAATATTGTCAAAGTATGTACTATCAAATGTCTGGACACGCACAAAACCATCTTCGCCACCGGAGGCGTAACTCTTGCCATCCGGATGGAATGCCAAGCTGTTGATTGGACCGAAATGTCCCTTGAGACGTGCGAACTCCTCCTCATAGATCAAATGGAAGAAACGTGAATCGAATTTGCCTGCCTTCGTTGATGTTGTGGTCACCTCCATAGCATCCTGGCCACCACCAAGCACTACATGATCCAGTATAGGGCTAATCGCAGCTGAATTCACTGGTCTCTCTGTTTTGTATGTCTTCAGGCACATCAACGACTCGGAATCGAACAGCTTGGCTGTGTTATCCTTTGAGGCAGTTACAAACATAGTACCATCCTTACTTAACTGCATATCATTAATGCCTGCCGTATGATCGGTGCCAGAGTCGACCACTTTCTGTCCCTTGCGAATATCCCAAATGGCAATGTTTCCATTGTCATGACCTGAATGTGAAGTTTATTATTTGTGGGCGCTAGTTAAACTTTTCTTTTGGCTTGCCTGTTATGATTGTTTCATCCAAGGGTCCCCACAGCATGGACGTAATCTTGGATTCTACCATTGGTATGCGTAGCGTGGGTGCCTGTTCAGATAATGTTGAATCTGCATTGCGTACATCGATGATGAAGAGTTCACAGTTCTGACCCATCGCCTTGTCCGTTGAGTACGCTGCCTGATTGCCGGAGAAACTGAAATTGCTTGTACGCACGGAAGATTTCGCCGCTATGGATGCAATCACAGTACCATATTCGACATCCCAGATTTTAGTTGTCATATCGCCGGCACCGGTGATTAGCTTCCTACTCTCCCAATCCACATCCAAACACCACACGGCTCCCTGGTGGCCATCGTAGGTGCCGAGACGCTCACCGTTCAGAGAGTACCAGACATTGGGTTTTTGATCCTTGGAGCTGGAGAAGAGCAGATCGCCTTCACGATTGTATTTGATTTGCGTTATGGAACGCTCATGACCTTGCAACATCAACGGACGCTGCAAAACGAAAGACAATTTAATTTCAATTTATTGCAATAATACAGCACGAAGCGCCGCCTTTTTAGGTTATGTTGTACGCATAATAAAGGAAATTATTTTGCTAGAGTAACAATACACATGATTGGCGATAATAACAACACTATATTAAAGAAGTATCTTAGCCTAATTTTTATTATACACACACCATTTTGTATTTTTTATATATTTATTGCGAGAAAACAAAACAATTTCTGCAACATCCACGCAGCACAAACGTCAAAAAGAGCGAGTATACAAGTTTGACGGGGTTGTTATGCCAAGCGCTGCCAACTTGATACGAAATAATATTTAAAATATATAACAAAATTTGTGGCAACGCCATACATTCTAACTGAACCAGCCTTTTTTGTTCAACGAATTCCATTTTGCTATGTTGACTAAAATAGAAGCCACACATTGATCCTTGTCTCGATTCTGACCGTAATAATCAACAAATTCACCATCGGGATTAACCAAGTACATAATGATGGTGTGATCGACAATATAATCGTTGTCCTCATCGCGTGGTCCAGCGCTAAAGTAAACACGGAAGGCTTTGCAAACATTTCGTATTTGATCCACGGTGCCCGTCAGACCAAGCAATTTAGGCGAGAACTCCTTTACGTATTTGCCTACCACCTCCTTCGAATCACGTTCAGGATCTACGGTTATAAATATGGGCTGCACTGGCGGTGCTTGTGGTGATTTTTCTATACATAAAATAATGATATTTATTATCTGATGCATTTCTAAAAATCGTGAATACGCACCAACTTCGTCGACCACTAAAGCCATTTTGTCCAGTTCGTCTGGGCAGATATCGGGGCAATGAGTAAATCCAAAATAGATAAGCAGCCACTTGCCCAGAAAGTCCTCAGACTTGCGTACTTCTCCTTGTGAATCAATCAACTCCCAGCGACCTCCAATGGCAGCCTTGCCCAGCTGTCGCTTGCGCTCTTTTAACAAAGCCTCATCCTTCTCACTCTTTACATATAGCATAAAGGCAAGGCCTCCTGCTCCTAAGACGCCAATCACTGACAAACTCTTCCACGATATCGGTCCCTTGCCCTTTGTGGGATCACTCGCTTTTACAGCCATATTACGTTGCTGTCCCGCTGAGTGTGTCTGCAGCAGTGTTCGGCAATTCCACCGTCTGCAGCCGCCAATTAGACGTTGCAATGAGCGCGACATTTTTTGTTTTGCTTTTACCAAAGATTTACGTAAAACCTGCTGCTGGAAAACCAAGCCGGTTAAATAGCTAAGATTTGTAATTCACAAGGCTGCGCATATTGCTGCCAACTTGGCGCAATCTTGTTGAATTACACAAGTCACAGTGACTACTGAGACTATGCATTTGATATCAATTTCTTCATGAGCATATCAAGCATGTTCCTATATTATAGAGAAATCAATTATTGTTAATATCATTAAGTGTATTGATAAAACAATTTTGAATAATAATTCAAATCGACATGTTCTTAATATATAACATTTGAAAGTCGCAGTGACCCTGTCACGAGTAGTCAAGATATGCGCATCTCTGATTGTTTTGACAACAACCACGTGCGGCAACGACTCGGCTGCTTAGATCTTTAATTGAGATCTCGTTGTGCTTAGATCTTTGAATTTTTCTGAATTACACACGGCTTAAAATGACGGACAACAAGAAACAACCGTTGCTTTACATGGAAGAGTACAGAACAAAGCAGGATCCACAGGATTATGGGCTGGCCGACGAGGTCTTTAATATGGACGTCTTCAAAAGCAAATTACAAGTGGTAATTGTTCGGTAAGTACCGCTACCTATTAAGTACTGTTCCACTATATATACAGTTTTATTGCAGAAATGATGAAGAGCATGGCTTAGAATTTGATTTGATTGGCGTATACCCAGCAATTGCTAACGCATTTCGTCGCTTGATGCTCAGTGAGGTGCCGAGCATGGCCATTGAAAAGGTTTACATATACAATAACACCTCGATCATCCAAGACGAGGTGCTGGCCCATCGTATGGGTTTGTTGCCGCTTCGCGCAGATCCCCGGCTGTTCGCCTATCGCACCGAGGAGAGCACGGAGCAGGGCACCGAACAGGATACGCTGGAATATGAGCTGAAGGTGAAGTGTACGCGACGCAAGGATGCTAACAAGGATCAATCTAACTTTGATGATATCTACAAGAATCACAAGGTTTATTCAGGACATTTGAAATGGTTGCCTAAGGGCAAACAAGCACAGATTTATAGCGAAAACAGCGTTAATTGTATCCATGAGGATATATTGATTGCACAGCTGCGACCAGGGCACGAACTGGATCTACGTTTGATTGCTGTGAAGGGCATTGGAAAGGATCATGCCAAGTTTTCGCCAGTGGCCACCGCCTACTATCGTCTACTGCCACAGATAAACCTAACTAGGGATGTGACCGGAAAGGATGCCTATCTACTGCAGAGCTGTTTCTCACCGGGTGTCATTGGCATCGATGAGAACGAGTGCGCCTATGTGAAGGATGCACGCTACGACAGCTGCAGTCGGAATGTGTATCGTTATCCCCATCTAGCTGATGCTGTTACTATGGCTCGAGTGCGTGATCATTACATCTTTAATGTTGAATCTGTGGGAGCCTTGAAGCCGGAGGTAATATTCTTAGAAGCCGTTCGAGTGTTGAAGAAAAAGTGTCGCAGTTTTATCGATGAAATCGAGTCGGAATAAACATAAAACATTTATTTCTGTGTATAAGTTAGTTATGCTTGTCAATATATATATAATTATATATAGCTTGATAATAAGTTTAAGTTTGATATATTTAAAAGTTGCGTTTTGATTTGCGTTTCAAGATCTTAAGTCGAAATTCTGTAAGCACCACCTGCAAACGCTCCTGGCAAAGCAAAGCATCCTCAAGCTGAAATAACAATTTATTATATATTGGTTTCATATCAAATTGGGCAGCAATCAACTTACCTCCATGTGATTCAGTTGTAGAGAGACGCTCTTGCCAAATAGATCAAATTCGCTGATAATATTATCATCTGTTAGATTGTCATCCTGCATTTCATCGATTTTGAAGTCTTGCATGGTTTCAGGCTTAATATCGTGTTCCATTTCCGTGTCGCTAATCTCCTGTAGATATTGTTGCTCCATATCATCGTTGCCCAACAGATCTTCCAGTATCGAATCATTGGAACATGTATCCGGCTCCAAAGGAGTCTGTTCAATGTTTTCCGCTACTTTATCCGTTTTGGAACGTTTGATGATCTTTGGTTTTGACTTGGTGGCGAAAATAAACTTTTGTGGCATTTGTTTTGGCTCCTCCTTTATGACGGGCTCCATTTTAATGGGGATGCTCTGCAAGAGAAGAAGAATGGACGGCTTAGGCCTTGGAAAATGGAAAGTGTAAATAGTCGCTCGCTTACCTTTGACCCAAGCTGATGGCATTTGAGTGCCTTTTGATGCTTGGCCGTATTGTGATGCTGTTTAATGGATGCCAGACGCGCCAATACATTTGCGTCGCATATTTTGCAATGAGCCGAGTAGCCATCGTCGCCACGACAAAGCCACTCGGAAAACGATGGAAATCGTTCCCAATCCTCACGATATTTTTGATGGTACAGCCTGCGCACTTTGCTCATGGCTTTTGCCTCTGGCGGCGATGGTTGTATTGTTATTATTTGCGCAATTGTGTGGCAACTTTTGTCAGACTTATTATTAGCGTTTATATTGTTTTGAATAAAGTGCGCCAAATCCTTTAGTTGTGTATTTTATCTGGTAATTCTTCTAGTATTTACATAAAAAATAGACCAAAACATTAAAAGGTTAGTGCGACCGCGTACCGTCAACGCGTAAGTTGCCAAAAATATTATTGTTTTAATTACAATGAAATACCAAAAATACCATATTTGACATACAGTCTGTAAACACTGACGTCTAACCACTAACAGTTACAAAAAATGTTAACTGGTAAAAGTTAATTTAACTCCGGTAAAATTTAACAATAAAATATTATGCGCAACGTTTTATTATGGAGACAAACTGAGAAAAAGTATGTTTACCTTGAATAAAAAAGAAAGTGCGAAAATGTTATGGTTTATTTGTATGTTATTGGTAACAGTAGTAACCTATGTTACAATTTCAATAACAGGAAGTATTTCAGCAATTTACTGCTGCGGTCACACTGTTCTTACAGGGTGATACAGTTTACAGAAAATCAAAACACGGATAATGCCGGCTAAAAGGTAAGCTTAAATGTTTGTTGTTTACTTTTTAAATACTGTAACTATTAATCTAGCAGAGCTTGGCGTAAGCTAGTGAAAAAACAACAGCGACAACGCCGACGGCAAAGACAGGCACGAGTACGCGAAAAAAACGAAGTATTAGAAGAGGAAGCCAGGCGGTCAAAGCCCGAATATGAGGCGTGGTCAAAGCAACAAGCAGCGCTCGAAGAATTTCAGCGCCTGGCCAGCGAACGTTTAAGAGAAGAAGAAGAAGAAGCTTGGTTGCGTCGGGAGGCATTGGCTCAACACCAATTCCAGATTGATAAAGCAAAGCGTGATCAGGAAGAGGCGAAACTAGAGAGCTTACGATTGCAGCAAGCAAAGGAATTGGAGCAAGAACTGGAGAAGCAACGGAAGAAGCGAGAGGAGAGTAAAAGACTGGCTGAACAAGCTGCAGCGGAGTTTGAGGCAATGCTGCAACGCATGCAGGAATATATGGAGGACACTGAAGACCGCACGCCGCCAGCTGAGCTGCGCCGTGTAGTGGAAACAAATCCTGCAGAGAGATTATGCGAGTTCTATACGCGCACCAATTGCTGTCGATATGGAAACAGTTGCACATTTAATCATCAACGTCCCATGCTCGCAAAGATCCTATTAATACGTCACTTCTTCACTCATCCGCTGCTGCAGGTGGGTGAGACGCACAAAGAGTATGCGAATGCAGATGAGTACTTGGAGCAGACACAACAGGACTTACGTGCTGACTATGATGACTTCTTCAACGATGTGATTGGCGAGCTGGAAAAGTTTGGCAAAATTTTGAATTTTCGTGCAGTGCGAAACACTTTGCCACATCTAAGAGGACACGTTTTTGTGGAGTACGCACAAGAGCGGTTCGTGTTAATATTTATTTCTTCTATTATATTTATATTAATGTATATGCTATTTAGCTTTGCACTGCGCGCCTTCATTAATCTGCAAGGACGCTACTATGCATCGAGGCGCATTCAAGTGGAATTCTCCAATCTTAAAGCGTGGCGTGGTGCCGTTTGCGGTACGTGAAGCGCATGTCAAGAGCCGTATCCTTTGCTAAAACATGACAAACATATTATTTTTTAATATTGTGTGTATTGTATATTAACTCAAGAGTTGCCTACATGAACGTTGTCCAAGTACTTCCGTCATTAAGGCAACTGAACAACGACGAAATATCGTCTTAGTCGAGAGCCACAGTTGGCTGTTTCCAGCAAACTTTTTATAACAGAATACTTTCTAGTTACTTGATTGATAGCTTACCATATTCTTTACTCCACTTGTCGATTGTCTTCAAGGTTTGTCCTTAACACGCAAATGTCCCAAAGGCTACAGCTGTGGCTATCTACATCTATTTCGCAATCCAAACAATTTGTTTAATAGTAGCTTGGAGCTCTACGACACCCCAAAAAGTGTGCGCTCTGGCAGTAGAACACCTACAAGCAGAAAAAACAGGTAAGTAAATAAAATATTTAATGTTATTGATTGTGCATTTTGTGCTCGTTCCTAGTTGGCATGACAATGGTCAGGAATCTCGCAACTGGCGCTGGTCGGAAAGTCCCGAAATGGAGTTAAAGCTTGACAAATCTTCAACTAACCATAGCAAAAGGCATCAAAGCAATGATCGTGATATAAAACGAGACTCTGGACGCCACTCTAGTGAAGAATCTGGACCTCGTGGTAGTGTAGACTCTGCCCGATATCAGACTCGAGACTCCAGATACAGTCGAGCTACTAGATTACATTCTAGTCAAGACCATGGCCATCACAGTCGCAGTCGCAGTCGTAATCGTTCCACATCAAGCCGTAAACACGTTTCTAAAGCGGATTACAGTCGCTCCCGCACTCCGCCAAGTCGGCGTGTTAAATAAACCAAAGTATATAAGATCAAATTTAAATAATTGTTCTGGTTTTAATGAATTTTTACAACAGTTTATTCAATCTCTTTGTTTTTGCACGGCAATAGAATAGGTGAGCTTTGTTTTTCATTTTCTTTCTTTCTATTTTAAATAAGAGATTTTAGGGCGTGATTATTCGTACTTAACAATTTTTTATAAATACAATTGTAGGAAAAATATAGTCGTGTAAGATTGGCAGTTACGAAACGAGAGGATTGTGAATTTTAGGCATCTGTCTATATATGTGTGTAGGTGGTAAGATCGGGGTATTTATAAATTCTAAAGTCTATTTGTATTTGCATTCGTCGTACACATATTTAAACAAAAATTATACAAAAAAACTCATTTTAGGGAGTATTATAATAAGTAGCTTTAAAATTACACAAACAATACGAAGATAATGAACTTCTTATAGACGAATGCCCGGATTTGTGGCCGCCACATAGCGCAGCAGCTCCTCGTTATCCTCGCAGATGACGGGCTTCTCGTGATAGCAGGCAACATCGTGCCATGCGATGCCATCGTTGTAGACATTGTTTAGCACGGAGAGGCACTGCTCCTTGGTCTGGTTGATGTCATATTCAGCATTGTCGGGCTGTGGACGCTTCTTGTGACCGGTCTGCGACCAGGGATTGTAGCCCCAACCCTGTGGAATGCGGTTGGTGGCCTGGATCTTCTCGCGAGTTGCGGACCAGAACCAGCCATAAATATGCTTGGGCTCCAGATCTGGACGATTTTCGCAGCCTGCGAAATCGCAAATGCGGCCAGCGGTCCAGATGTATGGGACATCATTCTGCTGAATGACACGGAAGATCAGATTGTTTTTCTCTTGGGTCTCCAGGGCGACCAGATCCATGCAGTATTCGCGGCACAGATTACGGCCATCCAACCAGTCGACCTTCCTGTTGGCAAGCGCCGGCACGTGGGTGCTTAGGAACATGTTTTTGCCGCGATACGAGAATTCCTTGGGGCCTGCAAAGGGGAGACAATTAAAGGAAGTGTTCAATAGCTAGTCGTAGGTGTGGTTCACTGTGAGGGCCTGACGACTGGGTGTCTGCCTCGTGAATTGGCAAAATCATGCCACGGTTGCTTACACAACTTCCCCCTACTTTAAGTTGCGCAATCTTTGCCAGCAATTTATGCAGCAAGCAGCTGTTGCTGCTGCTGCTTCTCCTCTTTATCCGTCGACGCCGCGTCGTCTGCCCGCTTTTCTTTGTGTGTGTGTCAAAAGGTTTTCCATTTTGCCAAACAAAAAATTCGTTAGGCCAACAATGGAATTCCCCCTACGCTAACTCTAGCTCTCCCTCGTCCATCTCCACCTCCACCTCCTTCCACTTCAACTGCTGCTGCTCTTTGAAACTTGTTTCACTTGGCTGACTCCCTGAGCCGCCTGCCACCGTTGCGGCTACTGCAGTGCATTTGATTAGCTGCTGTTGTTTTTTGTTTTTTTTTTGTTTATTTTTGCTTTTGTTTTTTTAACGCGACCGCCTGCGCCACGCCTCTTGTTGCCACCATAGGTGCTGCTGCTGGCGGCACGCGTCATTAGGCGCGCTTCGAACGGCTTTAAAGCTGCCATAGCAGCAGCAGCAGCACCACCAGCAGCTGCCGTCACTTTTGCAATTGCCTTTTGCCTGCTCATTCGTCCGCCGTCAGCTCAAATCAGCTTAAGTCTAACATAATGACCTTATTTGCCATTGTTTGCACATTATTATGATTATTTTTGCCGATGCTGCCAGACTGCTGCAATTTCCTCACTTTACAGGTCAAGGCAATAAAAACAGTCCCATTAGTGTGCCCTCTTCATATTTCCTGCATGCAGTTTGTATGACGAAAAACATACAAAAATAGCCAATTGCATCACAGCGGGGCAACTTCCCAAAGTAGATAACAGAAAAAATATAACTACTTATAACTATGTAGATATCTACACAGAATCTCGATCTTAGAAAATCCGTTTTGAAATGTAAATTAAATAAGCAAGCGCAAGCAGTTTGCATGCTTGAAAGTTGTTATTAACGAGCATCGACGCCGTCTGTAGCAGGTAATTAAGTTTGAATAGTTAATTAGTTTAACTTAACTTTAAGTTGTGCTTGTATAACTGGAAATTTCTAAAAAAAGATGAAAGATCTAAGCCATAGCAACGGCACAAAACTGGCTGTGCAACTTTATGGGCCGTCGTTGACGTTGACGTTGTTGCCCAAAAAAAAACACAAAAAAAAAAAAACTAACAAAAACTGAGCAACCAAATTGTTAAGTTGCATTTTAAACGGGATGCACACAAATGTATGCATTCAACTGTATATGTGTGCTGCCTAATTAGTGCCAACTGCTAACTGTGTTCATTAGTGTACCGGATATGCAGCGATGACGCTATTGTTTGAATTTAACATCTAACATCGAGCTGCTGCATTTTCGCAATCTCTTCGCCGTCATTTCGTTTGAGTGCCACTGCTTGCCGTGACTTGCAGTTTTCTTGCGTGCTGGGCAGCTCTGGCTAATGCAGCGCGGGGTGGCAACGCTGCAAGCCAAAGTGAAGCAAGGAAAGTGCGTAGCTGACTAAGTGCAGCGCCAAAACAAAAGACGATCACGTCAGCGACCTTCAACTGCCTCGCACCGCCCCCGACCTAACACAATTAAATATATTGTAATTGCTGCGGCTGTAACACACCTACACGTCGCATTGCCAAACAAATTCAAGTGCAAACATGGGCGCTATTTGATATTCTTCTAACGTTTCACACTTTTACTTTTTGCCACAACGCTAACCGGCAACCAGTTAAGGTTAAAGTATGTGAAACTTATATGTGTATATATACGGACTATTGAAATGTATGTGTGCATGTATACTTACGGCTAGCGCACTTGGCGGGCACGGGCAGGGAGAGGAAACGACCCGGCTTGGTGCCTGTGGTTGTGGTAGTTCTACCCTTTTGCGCATTGGCACAGGCAGCCACCAGGCAGAAAGTCGCTAACGCCAAAGTGACTTTCATCTGCAAAGAGGAAAATACAAACAATGTGAGTAATGGAAAAAGTTGAAGTCTTATTACGTGTACCGCAGTGCGTATACGGAATGTTGTTTAAAGTTTGTTTTGATTGCGTACTGCGGCGCATGCGTGTGTGTGTCTGTTTGTGCTTGTGTGTGTATTGGCTTATCGAAGATGTAACTTGGTGCGCATGGTTTTTATGTCAAGGATGCATTGGTGCCAGCCAACCGGTTGCCCGAGGCGTTTCGGCCACTGACACACTGCCTCAGTGACGACGCCGTCGACAACGACGACACTTGAAACTTTATTTTTATTGTAGCTTAGCATCGAGCAACGTGATCAGCAGCAGCAGCAGCAGCAGCAGCCGCTTTGGCATCGTCACATTATTCATAAATAAAAATTCATTTAGCATCTGCTGCAAACATGTTGATTACACAAGCTACAAGCCACAAGCTAAGCCAACGTCCACTCAGGCTGACCTTAACTGGTTTTATTGACTTTTGTATTGGGTTTTTTTTAGTGCTTTTTATTTATTTTTATTTTAGTATTTTTTGTGGCGCTGGCTAGAACCTTCCACGTCTTCTGCATAATGATTGGGCAGCACTTCTCTTCCTTATGTATAGCGAACGATTTGTTAATGCAATGCCATCAATCAAAGCTCAATGTCTGTGTTTGAAATTTTGCATGTTAATTTGATTACACACACACCACACATACATAGCTAGGGACAATATTATTTCTTGTGTGTCGATCGTTATCGACAGCATATTTATGAGCTGGGCAACCCCCGTCAACTGACAGATATTTGGCAATATAAATCATTAATGGTCCACCTTAATGGTCGCAGCTGCCGCAAGGCTTATCAGTTGAAAATTTCGATTCGATTTCGAATTCAAAAAGTTGCGCTATCGATTATTAATTCGAATTTGTGAGTGCTTCAAAGTGAAAAGCTTAAACAACAGACATGCCCGCCCAGGCCCTAATCGTTGGACATTTGGACACAGTTGGGAAACGTGCATTTCAATATCTCCCTCTCTGTGCGTGTGTGTGTGTGTGTTTACATTGTTGGTATTTAAAGCTGCGTTTTGTAATTTGGCCAGAGGCGCTTGCTTATTGGCCTCTGCGCTTTTGTTTAGTCTCGTTTTGTCTCATGCATGTTAATCAATATCAATCAGCCGCGTACAAAAGTGATGATGCATTTAATTATGTATATACATGGGTATCTATGTAGACACATGTTAATTTATGTGTAGGTATGCGCCCTTTTATGACTGGTGGGCAAATAATATGCATGCCAAGTCGGCACACACATTATTTTTCTCGCTTTTGTTTCTTTATATAATTTATGCATGTAAGTTTTCGAGTTGTTTGTTTGGAAGTTTTATGTTGCAAGTTGCGCAAAAGTTTCCGAAATGTTTACTGCATTTGCCATGATTTTCCGTTTTTGTGGTCTGTTGAAAATTTTGCTTTGGAGACTTAAAGTGACTAAGAATTTATAGTTTGTAGCTAGCAAAAGACTGTGTCAACGAACTTTGACTGTAGAGTCAAGAATTCCAATTCCAATTAGACTTTTAAGTTGGGCCAACGAAATGCTATACAAAAGACTGAAGTAACAAACTTGATTTTACAATCAATCAAAAGAGAGTTAAGAATTAATGGAAAAAGCCATTATAAATAGATATTATTTTAATTTATAAGCTTTGGAAGTTATTTCAAACTTTTTTAAGGTATTTATTAAATTAATTAATTTCTATTAAATTGTATTGTACACAAATTTTTGTTAAAATCTTAATATTGTTTAAGTTTGTTTCAATCAAAAATTTGATGCACATTTTTGAGCTAATTTTTTATTTTGAATTATATTTAACGTTTTATAAGTCTTTTAATCCATATAAAATCCATATAAGTTGTCTTATCCTTGCTTAAAGCAGAAGCAGCACACAGCACTTTTAATGTGGTTTAGACCAACTTGACACGTTAAATGTTTTTGGCACTGTTGCTTTAAGTCCTTCAATACACACACACACAATCTCACACATGAGTACACTGAATATCCTTGAACGCGCCTGACTGCTTACCTTTGTTTTTATATATTTTTGTTGTTTCTTTTCTTATGCCACAACACTGTTTCACTGTTTCCGTTCTCTGTGGTCCAACTCAGACTCCGCTGCTTGCGTCGGAGACAAAACCAGACGAGACGATACCAGACGTAAATGTGAATAGCAACGAATATTCAGACAGCGGTTCAGCCGGCTTTTATACGTTCCAATTGGCAAAATGGGCGGCTGCCACACCCCCGATATTAAATATACACACATTCAATATGCGAGAGCCAAAAGAGAGCTGGAGCATAATGCAGCTTGAACTTTTTAACACAAAGCTTGCGCGCTCTCACACAGCTCGCCCGCTCGCTCGCGCGCTCTCTCTCAGCTTTCAGCATGGCTTGGCTTTGGCTGTGGCGTGGCGTTGGCTTTGGCTTTGGCTTGTCTTCGATTGGCTTCGCCTTTGTTCGCTCTCTTTCGCCGCAGTCGCCGCACATTGATTCACATCTAGATTTGGCAGTTATCATAACTCAGTTAGTAGTTAAAATGATGTGCAACTTTATGGCCAGCATTTTTTTGGCAGCCAGCAAAACTTAACAAAAATGGAGCAGTTTAAATAAATAAGCATAAATTCGATCAAGTTTTCGAATTGCAACCATAATTCAACAATTGTTTCTGTTCGTATGCAGCTGTGTTGCACTGTGCTTTGCGGGCGAAAAAAAAGGCGAACTGTAAATGAACTTAGAACATATTTCAGACAATGACAGCTTTTGTCTATAAATATTTATATAGCCAGCAAATCTCGATACACCGCGCGTCATCAATATAGAGTAGCCTGCAGGTTGTTCGTTTAATGTTGCATATTTGCAATGTCATTTGTGCTTTTGTTCTGCAATTATTTTCTATGGAACTCTGTTTTTTTCTGCTTAAAATCAGACTAAATTGCAAAAAACAATATTTTTTAAAAATTTGAAAAAATCTAAAAAAAAATGCTTTCTTAAAAAAATGTATTTCTTTTGTTGATATTTTTAACAAAAATAATTTTTTTATATATTTCTATAAACTAGCGTTAGCTGGTCGCTATCCTGATGGCGCGCAGTGTATACCTGATTTTTATTGTTCGCTTTTAGTTTTTTTAGTTTTTTTTTGCTTTGCTTTTTCTGCGAATTTTATTTATTTACTTTTAATTTAAAGCAAAGTTTGTTCTGGCTGCTGGGAAAAAAAAAACAAAACTGTAGTACGATCATTTTAATTTTTAATAGCTATTGTTATTGTTGTTGTTGCTATAGTTGCTGAGTGCCTGGCACTCGAAAACAAATGCCGTGTATTTCAAAATTTATGCAAACACTTGGCGCACCTTTTACGCATCATTTTGACAACGCGAGCTGCGATGGCTGCTGCTGGCTTTTGTGGCTTGCTTCATATATCAATTTGTCAAGTGTTGTTGTTGCTGTTGTTTATTTACTGGGCCTTGATCTTGAAAAGCCTTTCGAAATTGTCGCCGTGGGCGCTGCTGGCAGCGCTGGCTTCCGCGCGGCAGCTCATCGCACGCGCTAAAAAAGTAGTAGAAGCTAAAGTAGAAATATTTCTGTAAATTTATTTTAAATATTTTTTTTTCGTTTTTTTTTTTTTGTAATTGGCATGTGAACGAACTGGCTAAGGATAAGAAGCTATTGATTTGGCATTTGATCTCATAAATAAATGCGTCTGGTGCTTGGCGGTGCCAGCCGGATCTGCGCCACTCTCAGATCAAATTCTTAACAACAAATAAAAGCAAAGCCAACAAAATTTGACATTTATTTGCTTGCCTTTTTTATTTTCGCTCATAAATATGCAAATTCGTACAAATTTAGACACACTTGATTATGTAATTTACGGAGCTGTTGGCTTTCGCCGGGCCACCCGCCGAATAACTCGAATTTGGTTTATATTTCGTTCTTGCTTTTTCTCTATGGGGTATGATGGACTTGTCAAGACATGTGACATTCTAGTGTAGGTATACTTGAGGCTTAGCAGCTGAGTCGATCAAGATCTGTGCTGATGTCCATTCATGCATCTTTCAACTTTCAACTTTCCGATAGTCAATCACTCTGTCCGTCAGCCTGACTAACTGTCAGTCTTGTCTATGTATTCGTCTGTTTATCTATCTTTCTGTTTGCCTGTCTGCCTAAATGTCTGTCTTAACTCTCTGTCTTAACTATCTGCCTTGTCTATTTGTCTCTCCGAGTGTCCGTCGTTTCGACGTATGTGGCAACGGAACTAGTTCCTAGTGCGTTTTGGTGGAAGAAGCGAGAGGCAAGTGTGGGTATCCTATACAGATCTTGCATGCCTCGATTCGCATTCAGATTTTTGCCACTGGGAGCACAGCACAGCGCCAGAAGCTGGCCATAGCGATTGTATAACATGGTCGTTGCCTTAACTGCCTCCAGGATTTCCTCTTTGCTCCCCAGTTTATGTAAGTCACTCAGCGTGTACCTACTCGGTAAGTGTTCCTATTTTCTGTTTCCTAATGCCTGCCTAAATACCATGTCGAGGTTCAGGGTATTCGCTAGTCGGTAACTGCCAAGTAAAGCATACTTGACTTATTTATTTCTTAGGTTCCCTGGGTTCAAGTTTGTATAGTTTTGTGACTCAAAATCCTTTTTAATGGGCTCAGCTAAAGCATTGACATTTTGGCCAGCTGAACTGCTGACACGAGCTCTAACAGCGACGTTGACCTTATGGCCAGCAACAATTTCTGTTGTCTGCTAATTGACCATGAAAAGATAACTATATATACATACATCTCTATGTATGTGTGCGTGTGTGTGGTTTTTGTTTGGGTGGCGCCATTGTTTGCCATTTAGTAGCATTTAATAGAAAAACAAATTTATTGAGCGGATTCGCAGGCCTCTCACGTGGCCCGTTCCACAACAGAGGCCATCAGACTCTTGAGGCAGACCCAGTTTTTGTCTGATTTTTTCCGAGTTACCTACTGCCAGCTGTGCTACGTTTGTACGTTTTAATTAGTCCTATTAATACATAACTCCCCAAGGGGAGTTGTGTATTGGGCCAACACAAATTAACATCGAATTCGTATTAATCACATTTTTAGCCAACTTGTGTTAAAAATCTATGCGAATTTCGCTTGGTATTGCACAAATTTTTACTGTTGTTGCTGATGCTGCTGCTGCTGCTGCTGCATTTGCGGAAGTCAGCAAAGAATTGCTAAACTAAAGTGAGAAATTTGTTAATAGATTTTATTTGTATTTTTGTTTTGTTTTTTTTTTTATTTTATTTTTTTGTTTGCGAAACTTTTAAATTATTAAATTATATTTTAGATGAATATACCCTGTATTTGAGATGCTGCAGGTTGACTAAAGATTGCTATGATTCTTCAGTTAGTGGTTGAGTTGAGCTTTGGTTCGTTTTTATGGAACATTCATTTATTCAGGTCTCGAGTATTCTTTGCTCATTCATGAGCCTTGGTTCCATCAGCTCAAATTTGGTTTCATTGATCATTTCCGGTTTTGGTTCGCAAGTGAACTACTCGTTCGTGAACCTGAATGTCACATTCATAAGCTCACTTTTTGATACACAGTCTTGACTTTTGAACCTATTTCATGTATAGCTTACATTTTGAGCTCTAGTTCATATTCGTGAACTAAGCTTTTGGTTCACAACTGGGTTTATAGCATGCACTTATGTTTATAGCAAGATTTTAATACGACTCCATTTAACTATGCTCTGCTATTGGATTTCCAATAAATGCTTTAGACACAAAGTCAAAGCAATTATGAACAATTTCGAAAATTTGTGTTTTATTTTTTTATTTTATTAACAATTTGTTATTTATTTATTGCTAGTCTTAAGACTTATTAAGTGCTAAGTTAATCGACGAATGCTAAAATTATTTAGTTCAATGCTTCAATTTAACTTTGTATACACATGCAATGATTTTTGCTGAATCCAGTTGAGCCAGTTCATAAAAAATGCTTTGGAAATATTTTTAAAAAAATTTTATGTATTTTTTAACATTTTTGATAATGAATATGTATATAAATTAATATTTTTGTTTATATATATATATATATATATTAAAATATAAATATTTTATATAAGCAATATTTAAATAACAAAAAAAAAAATAATATATATATATATATATATATATATATATATTTATAACATATATCTGCCTTTTTTAACAACATTTGATTGCCATCTTTTTTGATTGATTGGCAAAAAAATTCTAAGTTTCAAAACGCATTTTTCAAAGCGCAAAATCCTTCAAAAGAACTTTAATTTCTGCATGTAGATAGTCATTCCTGGTATTCCATTAAGTTCTACTCAAGTGTTCAAGGCACAAAGTTATTAATGATTATGTTCCATGGAACTCGTACTGTGTTCCATAGCGCATCTGGGTCAGTTAGGCCTGAATGACCGTCGCTCTGGGCATCCCCTACTCAAGCGCGTTTGCCTAAGGCATTCCTAATTGCGGCTTTAAGGAACTAAGTCGTCGACAAAAAAACTGGAATGTTATGATATAGATATGTATGTGTATCTGTGTATATATTATACTGGTTTTTGGCATGTCACACCATCTATCAACTAGTTAACGGAATTGCATAATTTTTTTAAGAAATTAGTAAGTCAAATATTTATTTAATTAATACAAAGAGGCGAACATGATAAAACGTGTCAACAAGTTCAGAGCGCAGCGGTTCCGAAACAGCTATGAAACAATGGAATTGGAATTGAATTTCTTGTACAGCAAGTGGAAGATATAGAATGTATATATATATATATATAATTGTAGTTAGGAATTAAATGAATCAAACCCAAACGTGAATAAGTTCACACTGTGTTGCTATATGAGGAACAGTGGAATTGAAAATATAACTCAATGTGTACTCAATGCATGTCACAGAATATCTGTAGATAAATATATATTATATTCAAGAAATAAGTAAACCAGTAATATATTTAATAAATAAGCTAATTGTGGAACAGTGAAATTGAAATTGAAAAAGTATTTTAGTAAATATAATAGGAGTTGACAATTGTGATAAACGAGCAAATTTGCTGTGAAGTTCTATGTGTGTAACTGTGGAACAGTGGAATTGGAATTTGAATTACGTATTAAATAAATTAGTAAATCAACTAAGAACAAGTTAATGATGATATACTTGATTTGGAA